AAAATAAAAATAAAAATATTTTTATTTTTATTTTCATACAAAAAATAAAAATATTTTAGAATTAATTCTAAACGCACCGTCTATATTTCTCCAGATTTTTTTATTTTATTTTTATCAAACATCGAGATCCCATCCTACCATCACATCTCATACACGTCCATAGGCCAGAAACGAACCAGGCTCGTGGGTTCAAACTGGAGCAGGCCAAAGCCCAAATGTAAGATCCAAAACTGAATCGGCCTACGACCATCTCCTCGTTCACTGACCTTTCTGAAATGTCTACTCTGACTGGGATCGCCATTTCTACCGGCGCCAAGCTCAGCCCAAATGTAAGATCCAAAACTGAATCGGCCTACGACCATCTCCTCGTTGACTGACCTTTCTGAAATGTCTACTCTGACTGGGATCGCCATTTCTACCGGCGCCAAACTCTGTTGAAATCTCCACCACAGAACCTGAAGAAGCTGGTCGTTCAAGCACACCTGAGTAACTATGGCGGAAACCGAAGCTCCTAGACCCAGACAAAGACCGATCGTACGCTTGGGGATCTTCCTCATCTCCCACAGCTTCTCCTTCAGGTACTCTCTCTTTTCATATTTTCACTGAAATCCGATTTGAATTTCTCGTATTTCAGCAAAAATTTGACTGGTCCCGGTATTTTTCTTGCTGGTTTTGGGGGATTTATTCAGCGTCGTTTGCTGCACTGCCGGTGTTTTGGCTCTTTTGCTGCTACCGATTCTCGCCAAGAACACCTACATTTCAGAAAATGCCCTAATGCCAGGTCTCTTTCATCTATAAGCTTTCTTTTCAAAAAATTTTGTTTTGCTTTAATCTAGTGATTAATCAGTTAGGTCAGACATTAATATGCAATTAGAATAACATTTGGCGGTATTTTTTTAAGGTTCGGCGAATCCAATGCTCTCCAATCAGGACGTCTTAGAGGCGAATAGATTTGTGAAGGATTTAATTGCTTTGAATTCGAAGCCTCGAGGTTCAGGCATGTATGTGTTTCCTTAAAGCATTTTTTTGTTTAAGTGGATTTACGACTTTAGCACTGAGTTGATTTGATGCTATGAAATTAGCAGAATTTAAAAATATTTATTCGGATTTTTAAGAATTAAGGGCCCATGTTAACTGTTACCACCTCTAAGATTTTTGAGAATTTAGACGGAGTTTGGCTTGGTTATCTAAGTACCTTATTGTGGAAATAGTGGAGCTTATCAGTTATCACTAACCAAGCTTTTGTAATTACTCGAGGAAGCTAAAGAGTTTCATTCTTTACGTGTTTCAGAAATTTTGTTTGATTATAATTTAGAGCATATAAAATTTCATCCATGGAAAGAGAATAATGACCTCTCGTTTGTATGTTTATTACTAAATTGGGAATGCAATTCAAATCCCTAATGGACAATTATACACTTGGATCAAATGTTTGATTCCTTTCTTTATTCTTCTCCTTTCTTTTCAAATCTTTTCCCTTTTCGATAACAATCCCTTATGAATTAATAAGGGTGTCGTATTCGATTGTATGTACAAGAAGGTGGAAGTATTCCTAAGGCGTCTTAACTGTTTTTGGTAGACTAAACCCCGCCCGTTACTACGATTTTCTCTTTCTTCTGTCACCTAGCTAAATATTTCCACAAATAGTATGCCCTTTTGCCTGGTGACTTAGGAGCAATGGCAGCACAATATTTGTTTTTCCAATTTTAGCATTCCCCTTCTTTCTTCAACTGGATCAAAGGTAAAGTGGAAAAGGTGAAATCCAATATTAGTATGTGCTTACCCCCCTTTTTTCTTCTCATTATTCTGTGCAGAGAGAGTCAGAGACTGATAGCACAATATATGAAAGATTTAGGTGCAGAAGTGAACTATCACAAGTTTCATCCTCAAATTACTCAGTTTCATCCGTTGCAGTTTTTCTCTAGTCCTGATTCTGGAACAGTTGAGCGAAACATCAGTTGTTCATTTCATGGTGTCAACACTGTTGGAATAACAAGAGCACCACGTGGGGATGGAAAGGAAGCTATTGTCCTGGTAACTCCTTACAATTCGCAGAAAATTAAGCAAGCTGAGGCTTTGTCCTTAGGCACCGCATACTCAGTATTTTCCTTGCTTTCCCGAGTCACTTGGCTGGCCAAGGATATTATTTGGCTGGTTTCGGATTCCCAGCATGGCGAATATGCTGCAGTTTCTGCATGGTTAAGAGACTATCACATTCCTATGTTTACTCGACTGCACACAGTAAATGCGGAAACATGTCCTGATATCAATTACTTATATGATGTGAGAGACAATTCAGTTACAGGAAGAAAGATATATGATGGATTTAAACGTGCTGGGACCATGGCTGCAGCCCTTGTCATTAAGGTAGTGGACAGAAGTGAAACGTTCGATGATAATCTTAACATCTATGCTGAGGCATCCAACGGGCAGATGCCAAACCTTGACCTCATTAATATTGTGAATTATTTAGCTGTGCATAGGCAAGGGTTTCGAGTGAAGGTTGAGAAATTGTGGTCTCTACTTGACTCCAAATGGCTCAAGAATTTGGGAGAACTATTTGAATCAGTTGGCCAAGTGGTGAGTAGCATAAATCCCCAATGGAAATTCGGTATCCCAGCAGCTGATTATACCGAGGGCATTGCGACACTTGCTAGTTCATTGTATAACCAGGTGGTCTATTTCTTTGTATTTGTTCAATACATTTCCTATGCTTTTATTTTGCCTCTCTTATTCAGATAAACATATTTACTGTTATATTTCATTCAAGGTTTATTTTTCTTATTTCCTTATTTAAAAAAAAAAAAAAAAAAAAAAAGAAAGAAATCTTTTCGTTTTTTTTGGCTTATCTTTATGCACTGGTTTATTTATTTTCCTTTGCGCTTATTCTTTCTTATGTTAGGCTTTGGGAGTTCCTACTGGTCCTCATGGTGCTTTTCGTGATTACCAAGTTGATGCAATTACTTTGGAACTTTCACCCAGAGCTTCTGTTGATAAAATCATCAGACAAAATGACTTCTTGTTACGGGGTGGCCGGTTAGTAGTCAACAATATCTCTCAGCTATTCATCAAAAAGGCAAATATTATGTGTGCGTGGGCGCAAGCTATTGTTGTCACAAATTCTATTTCAAAAGAAACATTGAATTGCCGACCATTATTAAATATTGTTTTCTGAATATCACTGAAACCCTTTTTGAGACTCAAATAATGAAAAACTCATAAAGAAAGGGTTCGACTTCTCTTGAAAACAATATTTTCTTTTTGATAGAACCCTTGGAAAGCACTTTTCAATCCTGCATATCGTCCTCTGATTTTGTTTTATTATGTTTGTTTGTTTGCTTTCTGTTTGTGTGCGGTGGAGGTTTCCATCTATTCATTGCTTTGGCCTGTGCAACATGTATATGGGAACTGTTAGTTGATCTTTATAAACAGGGTGAATCATCTGCATTTTATTTTCATTGTCATTTTCCTGATGTTTATGGTGTTCTTTGTTTATAATGGTATTGATGTCCTCATAGATGTTTTATTTGCTTGTGTGTTTACAATGTCAGTGGTGATTTAAACTACTATGACTGTTTATTTATAGGCAGAATGAAGGAATAGTTTTATATGGAGCTTTAGTAAGGCCCCTGTACTTAAAAGTCGGTGTCAACTCGATAGTTTCCTTTTTTATTATTTGGCTGAGGGATGTCCTGTTATTTTTTATGCAGATTAATTGAAGGAGTCATTCTATCTGTCAACAATCTTCTTGAGAAGTTCCACCAGTCTTTTTTCCTCTACCTACTAACATCTCCCGGTAAATTTGTGTCAGTAGGCGTCTACATGATTGCTTTTGCACTCCTTGTTGCACCACTTCCTATGGTTGCAGCATCTCTGTATGCCGATGCCATCAACTTGAATTCTTCACAGAATAACGAAAAAACCGTTGCTGATGAACCCGGTACTGCTCTCAGATCATTGAAATGGGTTAATGCAGCCAAGAAAGTTTTTGTTGTTCACTTATGGGGCTCTGTTGTTTCGTTACTTCCTTATTTTATCTGTCAAATACCCAATCGCTCTCCAACAGTCAGCTTTATCATCTGGTTTCTACTTTCAGTGCTCAGCTTTTTTATCATGTTCTTGATTTTGGCTTCTCCATTTTCTCATGCCAAAGAATCTCAACTTCATCTTAGAGAATGGGCTATTTTGAAATCAGTGACCATGTCAGCTACCTTCATTGGTTTGTGTCTCATGTCAGTCATTAACTTTTCTACAGCAGAACTTGGTGGGTTATTGTTGGTTCCAATGTGTTTGATGGCTCAGCCAATGAGACGCGATATTAGAGTTGGCAGCTTGAGTACTCTTTCAAGACTCGCATATAATCTAGTTTTTTGCCTTATTGGATTCCCACCGGTTACTTTTGTGTTGCTGAAAGGTGCTTTTGAAGGTTTCAACAGCATTAATGTTGGTGACTTCTGGTGCTGGGTGGAATCTCTTTGGGCTTGGAGCAGTGCTACTTACCTCTATATAGGTATGGTTCACCTTCCATGCTGGGTATTGTGCATTCACATTCTTTTTCATCATTGTTGACACGTCGTAGTCAAACTCTTCATGTATTGTTGATTGGTTGGATCGGCAAATCAGAAGATTGAGAGCATTATTGTGTTGATGTCATGTCTTAGCTGAAGTTTTAAGTACTGGCTAGTTAGAGTATACGTCCCATCAGGCATGTGATTTTTCATCACTGAAACTGAAACTAGAAGGCATTCTGTATCTTTTCGGGGCGGAAAGGGGCTCTACGATCACCCGAAACTCACGCTCTGAGGAAGCCTATCTGGCTATCTGTCAACTTGTTTTGTTGATCCTCTGCGTTGATAGCTTTAGAAAGGTTGTTCATCCTCATATGGTGAGAACTGTTAGAATGCTTAATCACTGCATTGTATTAGCTCGTTCACTTTAAATTAAACTACCACTGAGCTTTTTTCTGAGTGGAGTTTATGAACGCCTGAACAACTAAACCCGAGCTACTTTGGAATTCCATTGAGTACTAATTTCTGGGTTAGAGAATTTCATACAAAGAGCCTTTTTGAGGGTTCCATCTAAATTTTTGTCCTCGACCTTGAGACTTGTATTATTGCTGAGCAAGTAGTATCGCTCTAAATGAATAATATTTGTAACGGTTGCATTACTTTTCTGATTTGTTTTTCTTCTCTCTCTCTCTCTCTCTCTCTCTCTTCTCTCTCACTTCACACAATGAAACTTCTTGGTGGGAGAGAAGTTGTAAAATGAAGGCAGACATTTTCTTATGTTTAGAATATGGTTAAGTAGACATTTTCTTAGGAATAGATTCAACCAAAAAAAGAAAAAAGAAAAAGAAGTGCTTACTAAAAATAAATAAAATAAATATACAAATAAAAAGCAACAAAAAATAGTTGCTTGTTGGAGGCTCGCAGCTATGATAAAGTTAATTGAAAGTAAAGAGGACTGATGAGGACTAGGGGCCTCGTTGATGATGTGAGATCATCCCCCATCCAATCAGAACAATTTCCTTTTCAAACTGATTATCAAAGAAGATGCTGGAAATAGGCCATATTCGTCACCCACTCAAAAGGGTAAGGAATTTAGGCCATAGAATGAAATATAGAGAGAGAGAGAGAGGAGAGAGAGAGAGAGAGGTTCTCCTTTCTCATTGAAATTTTATATGCCGGTGGCTTTATTATTATTATTATTTTTTTTATTTTTGTTCATTTCTTACTCTGCTTGTGGTGCTGATTCTTCAGCCTTCACCTGAACATTTGTCCGTTGCTTTCAAAGAATGGATTGTTAATCATGTGGTTTGTCTGGCAGTTAATAAGATAAAATTTCTTTGGCCTAAAAAAAGATGAAAATTAAAATTGCCAATACTTGCGTTTTTAGAAGTTGATAATAACACTTTATGCATTGCGTTTTTTATGCGTTTTCCAAAGAGAATGACGATATAGCATAGAAACGTATTAGCTAGAAATTTTAGTTCGAAAGGGGCTCAATAAGTACACACATGAGGGAGATATTATTAAAAAAATATATGTGTATGTATTGTCTCACGTAGAAAATAAAGAGGGATATAAAATAGTTTATATACGTGGAAGAACTTAAAATTTAATAAATTAATCTTTTAAATTAGTAAAAATATATTAATTTTTTAAGTTAAGTTGGATTTTAAAAAGTATGTTACTAGTTTCACGTGTGATGTGAAACTTTAATTTTTTTTATTTTTTTTATCTTTTTTGGCCTTGAACGCATTGATCGACGATCGTTCTTTTTTTTTTTTTTATCCTTTTTTGGAGGAAAGGAATGAACCATCTCTTTTGTTTATTCCACGACAAAAGAAATCTCTCTTTGTTCTTGTTTGACCACGTCTAGTTAAGATTGAAAAACGTACTTATCCGATCAAAATAAATCCCCAAAACAGTCAAACATTCAACAACAATCTTCTTCTTTCTCATCTGGTCCCAAAATAGTGTGGAACGAACCGGGAAAAAAAAAAAAAATAGGTATCCCCAAGAGTTATCCAACTTCTTTCTTTATTCATCTATAGGAAACGAACATCCGGTTAAGTAACCATCCGTTTAGTTCGCTGATTCGAGTTTTTAATTCGAGTTGATATGTGACTTTACATGAGAGTTTTTTACTGTAATTAAAAAATTAGATGTAACTATTTCTGAGAAATTTTAACTGTAGTAAAACTCGAATCGGTAAAGTGAACGAGACTTTTATCTTCACGATAAAATGAATTGTACAAAAGCATTTGTATTTTACAATTTATCGCTTAAGAGCTAAAGAAAATGGCAACTGATAATTTGCCAACCTGGTGATGATTAGTGCTTTTAGTATATGTGTGCTGTATAGCCGTGTTTCGCACAAAATTAATGTCTCTTGGCATTTCCAATCTCCAGAACCAACCATTTTATATAATTAAAAAATAAAAAAAGATACACGTGATATAGATGCTCTTAGATTTTTATTAAATTTTATAAATTTCTTTGCCTTTTAGTATATTTTTTTCGAATGGTTATCTTCTGATGTTTAATATGATAGAGTATTATCTAATACGATAATTCGTGAAGTATTTATACAAAATGATCACTTTTATACTCCATATTTAGAATATGTCTTTAATTTAATAATATTATTAGTAGATATATTTTATGATTATTGAGATAATATTATTATAAATGTACTTTTTTTTATGAGTGGTTAACAAAGAATGAAAATATCATTACACGTTATTTTATAGACTTGTATGCAAATATCACAATTTTTTAACATTCATTTTTCATCTCTGCATAATAAACATATATGTAATTACTCTAATATCGTTCTAAATTTCTTTACTATTAAAAATGTCAAAAACAGAATAATAATTGAGAAAAAAAAAACACACACACACACACAACCGCTTATTGGAACGTTGACTCTCCTTTCAGTGTAAAAAATAAAAATAAAAATAAAAATAAAAAAACAACGAAATTCCACAAACACCCTTCTCCCTCTCCCTCTTTTTGTTTTCCCAAAGGCAAGTTGTCAAAAACAAAGCAAAGGCTCAACAAAGCAAGCATTAAAGCTAACTCCTTTTCCGTTTGCGGTAGGTGGCAAACAATAGACATTAACCAGAAAGCTTAAAACAGAGAAAGCGCATGAAGAAGAGAAGAACCAAAAGCAAGAATTCTTAGAGAGAGAGAGAGTTTTAGAGAGATGGACAACTTGCTCTGCGACGAGCTTCTCCAAGAAATCTTCCAGAAACTTCCGCCATGTTCGTCCTCCTCGGTTTCTCTGGTCTCCAAGCGCTGGCTCCAACTCTACCGGACTTCCAGAACTTCTCTCTCTCTCCGCCTCTCTCTCCCCAACCCCACAACTCTCCAATCTCTCTCCTCCCTCCTCTCTCACTACCCTTTCCTCCTCTCTCTCTCTCTCCTCCTCCCCTCCGAAACCCCCGCCACCACCGCCACAACCACCGCTTTCTCCGATCACCTCCTTCTCTTAATCTCTTCCCTCTGTCCCCACCTTCACGGCCTCAGGTTCTTGGCCTGCCCCGTCTCTCTCTCCTCCTTACTTTCTCTCTCTAAAACCTGCACCCACCTCACCTCTCTCTCTATCAACCTCTCCCGCCCTCTCTTCCTCTCATGGCTTCCCAATTTCCCTTCTTTGAAAGAATTGTCCATCTGGGTACACCCCGAAATCGAAGTCAACAACGCCGAAGAATACGGGTATTCCGAAAATGAAGAATTTAACTCAGAATTGAGTTTAGAAACTCTTTCTCTGTCCGGAATTCGTATGGGTGACTGGGGCTTGGGTTGGCTATGGAGGAGCTGCAACAACCTGAGGAAGTTACAGTTAAGGAACTGCCAGGGCTTAGGCGATGGAGGGTCATTTTCGTCATTTGTTAGGTGTTTGAAGGGAATCCAAGAAGTGGAGCTCAGAACTTGTAGGACTATAGTTGATGGGGTTCTCCTAAAACTTGCTGAGAATTGCAATTCTCTTTTGTCTTTATTGGTCTATGATGGTGGTAGTAAAGAGGGTCTTCTTAGATTCTTTAGCCAATGCCGTTTTAAGCTCCAAAGGCTTGATCTTCGCTTGCCTTTAGACCTCAACAATGACCATCTTTTTGCTGCTTCAATCAGCTTCAAAACTCTCTCTAGTCTGAGGCTCCAAAGTTGCTGCCTTGTAAGTGGTGAAGGCCTAAAGGCCGTTGGGAGTGCAATGAGTTCCGGGCTTGAAGAATTGGCGCTAATAAACTGCGATGTGGTCGAAAGAGAATCCGGGTTGTTGGCCACTTTGGGACAGAATTTGAAGCAGTTGAGGAAACTGGACTTGTCTTATAATGAAATGTTGGTGGATAAAGAGTTCATTTCCATGTTGGTTTCTTGTCATGAATTGGTTGATTTGAAGCTTAGAGGGTGCAAAGGGCTCACTAGTTCTGCCATGGTTACTATGTCTAGGAGCTGCAAAAGGTTGGAGGATGTTGATTTAATGTATTGTTGTGGGATTGAGTCTGAGGCGGTTGAGTTGTTTGTTATGAATTCTCCTAAGTTGAGGAGGGTTCAGGTGGAGGAAAGCAAACTCTCGGATGCTGCTAAGACTTGGGCATCGGTTAAGTTCATTGAAGTTTACTGATTTGCGGATAATTTATTTGCGGGAAATGGATAAGTTATGTGAATAAAATGTTTCAAATGAGACAGGTACATATCATACCACTTGTTGTGTATTATGATTGTAAATGTTTTATATTTATGCTATGAACAGACAACAACAAAAAAAAGAGCAACTTTTTTGCTCGAAATGATTATGTTGTATTAAAATGTTTGATTTTTTTTTTAATAATATATGGGACATCAGTTAAGTTAAACATTTTCTTCTCTCTGTCAATGAAAAAAGTACAAATCTTTTGTAATATTGGTGGTGCCTCTTCTTGAAAGAGTTTCTAATCCAAGCACTATCGTCTTCTTTTCATGTTGTAGTCTACCTTTACATCATAATTGTACATTGATTTGAGGTTTCTTATTCTTGGTTATCCAATCATACTAAATTGAAGAACAAGAATTTCGATATTTAACTTGAATAAATGGTGAGAGTGAACCAAACATGCCCTGAATTCATCGTTTAAACTGCAATTCACGTCCTTGTAGTTATGATAATAATACAAATTGCCATTCTGATAGAAGAGCATTGCGCAGACAGATTCTTATTAAATTCTCTGCTTGGACATGAGACAATACTAATTTATGTTATCAGCCGCTGCAATAAGCTTACACTTGTAGATTTCGGTTTGACATAGAATGGATCATTTGGAAAATCATTTGCCTTTACAGTTAATGTTTTTTCCCTTGTCGTGTAAATTTATAGGTTTCTGATGCTTCTTTTTAAATGTTTATATATCTTGTTTCTGATTCTTTTCCAATTGGCGGAGACATACCTTTGGGGGTGTAGAGTTACTTTGAGAGAGCATTTGAAGAGAAAATATGAAATATAAATATGACTATGAAGTTGGTCCTTTGTTCTGATAAAGGGACTTTCCATACTGTAAAGCCAGTCCTTTTGGTTATAGTGACCAGAATTTAGTTTTTGTTAGCTCATAGCTTCCTCTAACTTGTGAAAGGAACATATTAGTTTTATCTGGGTTAACTTTTTTTCCAACGCTTCTCAAATCAAATCAGAAGCATTCCTTTGATGTTTGCTGCAAATGAAAGTAGAGAGATCATTTTATTTCAATTTTTGCTTGAGGAGAGATTGTTGTTGCAAGTTTAAAGTATGAACATCCTTTTTTCCATGTTAGAGTTTCTAGTCACTCTTCCTTTGGTTGTACAAGTTAAAGAACACAAAGTTATCTTGCCTTCTGCCATGAATTTCAGAACTGAGCTTACTGATATATTAAGTTACTTAAAATATCTGTCAAGGGATCATTCTCATATCCCTTATGGTGTAAGGTGCCAAAACCTATCGCCTGATAAGGTGGTCTTCCTTTCTAAGCTTTCACTTTTATTTATGAATAAATTACTAATTGGTAGTTCCTATGTTTTTGGAGGGACTACTATTCTGAATTCTGAGCTTCTTTATGACACATCATAGATGTATATTGTACATCTCTGTTGCTTATAGTAAAGCCTTCAATTAATGAATGGTGGGTGGCCAATAACGTCTCTCTCCTCATCTCTAGTACTTTTGTTTTCTCTGTCTGACCTCTCGCTTTTAACCATAATTATGATAATTATTAGGTGCATTTACACGTCCGTGTTGTACTAATATGTCCATTGCGATGTCACGGACGAATCCCAAGTGAAAACCGCCGTGGACAAAGCCATCAAGGCCTACGGAAAGCTAGACATATGTTCACAATGCCGGCATAATTGATGAGTACAAGCCCTGTATAATCGACAACAAGAAGGCTGATTTCGAGAGCGTGCTGGGCGTGGACGTTACCAGGGTCTTCCTTGGCATAAACACGCCGCTCGGGCCAATGATCCCTGTGAGGAGTGGCAACATCATCTCGACTACGAGCACAGGTTCGTGTGTCGGGGGTGTGGCGATGCACGCGCTCACAACGTCGAAGCTTGTTGTGGTGGGACTATCAAAAAATGTGGTGATCGAGCTGGGACAGTTCGGGATTACAGTGAATTGCTTGTCGCCTTCTGTGGTGGCGATGCCTCTAACAATGAGGTTTCTCGGGGTTGATGAGGAGGGGGTTGAGAATTTGGCGATTCCACTGAATTTTTTCCCCTTTTTTTGTGGGGGTTTAAATGTGATGCCAAGTGTGACTTTACTTGCCACAAAATAACCCAATAGTAGCTCTAGGAAACTAGGAAGAAGGTTATTAAAACAAATAATAGTTTACTTTTCTTATTTTTCTCTTAATGCTTTCATTTTGGTTCATAGGTTGGAGTAAATTAGAGGAATATACAATTTTTTTTTTCTTTTGTCTTCAAGAAAAGAATTGTATCAGTTATTAAATTAAGGAATTGCACAAAACCACACAATTTAGGGCTATACATCTAACCCAGCGACCCGAGCAACCCAACTAACCCACCCAATTTAACCCGATCGGGTCAGCTCTACATGAGACCCTACGAAAGGCTCAAGTTGACGCACCCAACCCGAGAATTGTTTGGGTGGCACACGATATCTTCATGAATCCTAATAACATGTTTACCCAACCTTGAGCTGCTTAATTAGCAGATCGTGGAGTATGATTAACAAGACAACTTGGAAATAAAGACATAAGAAGTACAAAATTTCCAAATTCGGAAAGATAGAATTAGGTCCCGTTTAGTTCGTTGATTTGAGTTTTCAACTCGAGTTGAGATGCGACTTTATGTGAGAGTTTTTAAGTGTAGTAGAAAAAAATTAGGTATGACTCTTTCTGAGAGCTTTTATCTATAGCAAAATTGGAATTGAAAACTCAAATCGGTAAAATGAACATTGTTTTAGAAAACGAACAAAGTTCTAAAGTAGTCTATATAATTAAGTGGCAAGCGAACATCTCTAGCCTATGTGAGACTTATTCTAAAAGCAACAACTTCAACTTTTTTGGGAGGAAAAGCTGCCAACAAGTTTAGAGGCCAGGGCAGCATAAGAGAAAATTACATAATTTACCTTTAAGAGTATATGGGTCTAGACTTTAACTCTTTATTTTTGATAAATATTTTTTTTATGTAATTATTTGACTAAAAAGGTTATGAATCAAAAATAAAAGGTAAAAATTTTAACTTATGCACTTTCAAATAGTATTTGTCAAAATTATGACAGAATAGCCATAATATATCCCTCACTGAGTAATACCGCCGTTAAAGAGCTGGTATTCAAATGTGTAACCATTGTGAAAAATTTGAGCATAATTTGAACGTAAAACCCGGTGAATTACTCGGCCCAATCCCGGTAGTAAAATCATCCGTCCTAACCCTGCCTCCTGAAGTTTGGGAATACTAAGGCCTATTACCAAAACAAATTTGGGCCCAAGTTCCTCACCGACTTCAACTTTCTCTTTCTTCTTTGACCGGGGCCCCATCGTTTCTTTGGTCCATATGCTTTCAACTTTAAGAAAAACGCGGTCTTTGAGGGGCCCAATTAGACGGCATGTTATTTTTTCCTCATTTATTTATTTATTTTGTAATTCGGTTTATTACATAATATAAAAGTCAAAACGTCAAATTGGCTAAAACAAATGCAAAAAATAGTTAAATTGCAAGGCCTGAGTAAAATAGATAGACACAAGGGAAATAGAAAGAAGACTTTTTTATTACATTTAAAAAAATCTTAATAAATACTTTTTAAAAGTGTATGTATATTTATTTTTATCGTTTAGTCTTGATTAATATTTTTTTTAGATAAATAACTATATTAATAAAAAAATATTAATTAAAAATAAATAGTAAAAATTTAGACCCATACACTTTTAAGGTCATCAATTTTCTCTCTTATTCGTCATCTTGTTGCTTAGAATACACTCTCTCAAAGGCTATATAGGTCCAAAATCATAAAATAAGAGAGGCCAAAAGCCATAAGTTACAATAATAAATTACTACTAATTGAGTGATAATTAGCAGGTTACTGAGTACTAAATACCAATAGTAATAATGACGAGAATAATAAAATTCATGAGGGTGTTACGAATATGAACATCACACAAATGAATTAATTTATTCAAAATAGGGGGCCGTTCAGTTCGTTAATTTGATTTTTTAATTTGAGTTAAGATGTGACTTTATGTGAGAGCTTTTTACTGTAGTAAAAAAGTTAGATGTGATTATTTCTGAGAGTTTTTTACTGTAACAAAACTCGAATCGGCGAAACGAACGGGATATTTTTAAGGTAAAAGTTTTCCTCTGCAGTCTTATTCTCACGAATAGATATTTTATTCTTAATGTAAAGCTGTCCTCCATTGAACGCAAAATAACATGTTCATTACTGCATAGAATTTTCAATACCTAAATAGAAAACTTTTCTTGAAAGAAGAAAACATGATGTAATATGGGTGTTTCCCTAAGTTATTTATTAAATGTTTTATACGAAATTTTATGATAAGTTCAATAAAAAACTGTGGTTTTTTATAAGTTTATTTAGGCAAAATTTAACTCATTTTTCTTTACCTACCTTAACAAAATTAAAATAATTACTTAATAATCACCTTATGTGATATAAAAATTGATTAATAAAGTAGAATGTTACTATTGCTCTTTGACAAAAGGAAACTAATGAGACGTTTAGTTGGAGGATTCAAACCATTATTTGAATAATGATTCATAATTTGCTATAATATTTTTTCTCATAAAAAATATACATAAATTAAAAATAATTCTAATCACGTGATTCTAATCTATGAACTAAACGTGTCCTAAGTTTTAATTTTCTGTCCGCTAGTGAGAAAAAAAAAAAAAAAAAAAAAAAAAAAAAAAAAAAAAAAAAAACTCTTGTTTCCTGTCAACTCAAACGACAATGGAGAAAAGTCAGCAGAGTGACGCGTGAGATTAAGCTCAGAGACTTGTGTTTATTTTAGCGTATGTTGTATACAACATCATCGGATACCCACTGCTGAGTTCTGAAGGTCAGTATACAGATCTTGTGGGACCCAGTGACGAAATCATCACCTCAAATTTTATGATTTTTTTCTTTAAATAAAAACTAAAATAAACAGAAAGAGAAAAATAAATAAATTCTAATTGCGTCGTACGATATAGCCGTCAAAGCCCGCATTTCGCGGGCTACAAAACAAGCTTTTGGCGCGAAACGGAGAATGAAAAAAAAATAGTTTGGCCTAGGGTTTGTTTCCCGCCAAAATCTCAGGGCAGCTCGGGCAGGGCAAACCCAAAAGTGGGTTTGGGTTTTTGGGCTGTGAAACCAAAAAAAAAAAAAAAAAAAAAACAGAATTTATCCTTTCATTCTTAATTACTATTATTTTGCTAATATAGTCATTCGAGGTTATTAATTAAGAGAAAATAGTATATATCTTGATATATATACTTCAAGAGGTATTTATCTTTTTTAATTTTTAAAAATAAAAATAAAAATAAAATCTCGTCAAAAGAATTAATCTCATTGGTACTCTTGAACTTTTGGATCATTCTTTTTTTAGTTTGTAAACTTTGAAAACTCTCACTTTACTATCTGAATTTTGAATTTGTCCAATTTAAGGCCTTTTGTAAGAAATTCTAGAGAGTTTGTATAACAAAAAAGAGTTAAGTATGAACATGTTATATTTATTTGTTTGTTTAAATAGAAAAACTACATTATTGGATTATTTTTTTATATTTACTTTTAATAGAAAATACCATAGAAAGAATTAAGTGGAAATAATTTAAAATTTATTAGATAAAATTAGAGTTTTTAAAATTTAAATTAAAAATTAAAAATTATCCTAAAGGACACTGGTAATAATAATTCAAACAAAAAGTCAAGAAGCAAAATAATTTGTTGAGAGGAAGAAAAAAAAAAAAAAAAAAAAAAAAAAAAGCAAGATTAGAAAGAGGGAACGGAAGTCGATGGAAATGGATTGAAAGTGTGTTATATGTCAAAATGTCCCTGCCAAAAACCAGAATCTTTCATCTTCTTAGGATTCCTTGCCTGCCCATGTGTACATGTCCATTGTCCACTACCTTTCTTTCATACATTGGATTCCTCATTCCTCCTTTTTATAAATATCTCAATTTATTCTCATTTTTAATACTCATCTCAATTATTATCTCACATCAGCATTCATAATCATAAATAAATAAATAATCAATTAATTAATCCCGGTCTAGTCCCTTCCCCTACCCTCTTCACTTCATTAGACAAGTGACATACTATACGTACATCTGTATAGGCTTATATGCCGCAGTGTTTTATCCAAAAATATCAATAGCAAATATATATATATATATATGTGTGTATATATATATATATTTACACATGCCCTATTATTGGCTTTGCTGATTCAAGTCTTTGCTTCACTAACTACCATGCATTTTCTTTTGTATTTTCGTTGAAACTTACATGGCTAGTTACTCTTTTTTTTTTCTTTTTTTTTTTTTATGTAATTGAGAGTGTGAAAAAAAATTTATCCGACTAATCATAAGACATTTTTTTCATGTTTTGAATCGTAAAACATTTTTTAAATTCTATCTTTTTTTTTTTTTTTTTTTGCATGTCTTCTATTTTGATTTCAATCCAATAAAACACTTAAAAACATGTGTTTAATATGTAGTAAATTAGCTAGGAGTTGTCCTTTTCATACTTCAATACATTCGTGTGTATATTATTGTAGAGATTTTCTGAAATGGCCTTTGTAGGGGCCGTGGACAGCCGAACAATAAAACTAGCATTTTTCTCCTTTTCCCCACGTAAGGGCAAAATTGAAATTTGAATATAATTCAAAAAAGAGGATCAAATCTTGAAGAAAGCAAAAAAAATTTAAAAAACTAGAGAATGATACTAACAATTGAAATATAGGCCTCGTTCATTTCACCGATTCGAGTTTTCAGTCTTAAGTTTCTACAGTAAAAAACTCTCAAAAAATGTTACATCTAACTTTTTCTGCTACAGTGAAAAACTCTCAGAAAATGTCACATCTCAACTCGAATTGAAAACTCGAATTCGCGAAGTGAACGAGGCCATAGTATATTCCATCTTGGATAATGGCATCTGAATGGTACCTTTTTTGTTTGTCTACGTGATAAATTACTTGTGGTATTCTTTTTGCGGAAACAGAAAATGGACGTCAATGTAATAAGCTGTAAGCAGTGAGAAATGGCAAGTAAATATGATGAGACTTAATTTCGTGTATGTATTATTTTGAGCAAAGTAATAAGAATCTCAGAGACAAATAATTCAGTCAAGAATTAGCAAAAACAAAGTTATATACGCATGTACGAGGTTATTAATTTCGTTTAGTTAAAAGCAAGTTCCATTATCATCACAGGATTAGTTATTTCATGCTAGAATCCAACGTAAATTTTGTGTACCAAAAAAAGTTTTTTTTTTTCCTTTTCTTTCTTTTGTGGCATAGTGCTGCACAAGAAGGCGACAATATTAGAGAGATGTTATTAATTTCCCAGTTGGAGATTTCTAGTAAGTTAGATATTGAATTGACAGATTATGTGGAATTTAACTAGTTATTGATCAAATTTCCGCGGCATAATCAAGTTAAATAAGTCAAAAAAAAAAAACGTGTTATAAAAGGCAAAATTAATGTCATTGAAATAATAAAGGAAAAAAAGTAGACAAATACCCTCAAAGTGTATAGGTCTATATTTTTACCCTTTATTCTTGATTAATACTATTTTTAGTCAAATAACTATATTATTCAAAGGGGTATTAATTAAAAATAATAGGTAAAAATCCATACTCATGTACCTAGATAAGCGGCCCCATTCATTTTATCGATTCGAGTTTATAATTCGAGTTTATAATTCGAGTTTTGTTACAGTAAAAAGCTGTCAGAAATAGTCACATCTAACTTTTTTATTACAGTAAAAATCTCTCACATAAAATAACATCTAAACTCGAATCAACGATATAATTTTCTCAATAAAGTATTGGAATAAGAATTTTCAACCTCCTCTATGTAATTATGTCTTTTAGACAATCGTTACCTCTTCCACAATATGGACGTATAAACAATTATGGGATGATTTAGTGCTATCCTATACATTTAACTTATAAGTTTGATTTCTTTATGAAATCAACTTAAACATTATTGAGATAAAGAGGAAATTAAAAAATGTTGTTCCCTGTACGGAAACAAGGGCAAAGTCAAAACAATCTGAAAGAAAAAAGTAATTTTTTCACTTAAAAAAAAATGTAAATCACCTACAACATGCATGTGCTGCCCTGGGAGATTACTCAACGTGGCTTATCCAATGACCACAATCTGACAAAACTTAAGACCTTAATTTTTTCACTACAACTTTACTGTTTTCTTTCTTTAAAGGGATCCAATATATATGCATATATATATATATATATATATATTCCTAATCCCTAGAAACCTTTTGTTTAATAATTAACAACTGAGATTAAGTGCTAATTAGCTTCCCATCACCTTTTGAACAAATCCACTATTGATCATGCAGGTAATTAATTTTTCTCTTTGGAGCATGACAATCACGCCGAAAAATCTTATCCAAAAAAATAAAAACCAATAATAGTGTCCTTATCATTATGTGCTTTAGAACGTTTTTGGTGACACTCTAGCAAACAAGCTCTCCAACCCCACATAGGATTCTAAATTATCTCACTATATGTTTGTTTGTCCTTTAATAATCAAATAAGCATTCCGAGGGAATTTGGCCTGGCTTTGCCATAGGGTTTTCAGGTGAAGTGGGTCATCTAAGTGGGGGCACATATGACGATTAAAGGGAAGAGGTTTGGCTAGGGCATAAGGGGGGAAAAAAAATAAAAAAAAAAAAAAAAAAAAAAAAAAAAAAAAAATGGTTGTACTTGTGCTTATGACGGTATTTGTCTCAGTCAATCAATTCGTGCAGCATCTCAGCCAAGAAAAAAGATAAAAACTTTTACTTGTTTTTGTTGTTGGGCGACTTTTGGGGCATCTTTGGATGCAAATATTGACTTGTGTAATTAAGGGGAAAAAAAAAAGAAAATTATATGCTCAAATGCACGTGTACAGTTTGTATGTGGAGATTTGGGAGAAGTATGAGAGTTTGAAATAGCCAAAGAAACTCAAAGGGAGGAGAAATTGGAGGTGACTGGTTAGTGATGACTGATGAGGTAAGAAGGTTGAGATTAATTGAGAAAAAAAAAAAAAAAAAAAAAAAAAAAAAACTCTGACTTCATGTTTTGCTCAAAATATATCTTACATATTGGTGATGACTTAGAGAGAGAAATATAAAGAGAGTACCAACTACCAAAGAGTGTGAAGCAGAGAGATTTTAAGCAGGCTTGATGAATTACTCTGGCAACTAGTCCTTTTGGGTCTACTAAATTCCATGTCCATGCAAGCTGGTGCAAAAGAGTTGAAAGGAAGAGAAAATATTATATATATATATATATATACACACACACACACACTTTTGATCTTTTTTTTTTTGTTGAAAAGAATTAGACTTATGTTCAGTTCAAGATGACAGTTTTTTGTTTTTTTTTTTTGTTTTTTTTTTTTGTTTTTGACAAAGATATCGAGTTTGGTTGATCCATCCATGTTTTACTTGAGGAACTGCAAACTTGTAATGAACAGTGAAAATGATATTAACTTTATGACCAGTAATGTCTAGTTCAAGAACAACAAACACATCATGGATATGAGTGACACAGAAACATTAGGGATTGCTATTAATGTTTTCCACTCAACGACTCAAATACATGAATTTATAACCTCAAACTCAAGCCAAGCATATATAGAGAAAGCGAGATTAAAAGAAGAAAATAACTTATATTCTCAAACTTCTAAAAGGAAAAAAAAAATATTAATCATTCAGAAGTATCTCAACCTAAATTAGATTGTTCATTGCATAAATATCACATCTTTGTACATTACCAGCTCCTCTCTCTAATACCCAGAAAGAGAAGAGAAGAGAAGAGAAGAGAAGAGAAGATTAACATAGAAAGATAAATAAAAAACACAAAAGAGAGAATAGGAAAAAAAAAAAAAAAACAAGAAAAAGAAAACTTCTAATTCACTAACTCTACTTATAACTTGTTTCTTATGTTGCTAGCTAGTCTGAAAATCTCTCAAAGTCAATTTGCTTTCTCAACTTGCCGGCGTATGAACACTGTTTCCAAATCCGGCGGAGTAAAGAACTCTCTAACGCCATTGAAACTATTATTGTTACATCTCAAAGCCGGTCGCCGCTTCCTCGGAGCCGGCGGGCACGGCAGCCTCTCAGGAATTCTTGCCTCCTTCTCCGTCGGCGTCGTCGAACACGATTCCTCGTTGTCGTCTTCTTCGATGTCTTTCCCTCGGGGTTTCGTGTTTATCGGCTTCAGAGAGCTCCGTACGGAAATTCCGGCGATCACCCACTTTCTGCCTTCGGATTCTAAGCCTCCATCAATCTGAGATTTCTTTGAGAACCCCATGGAAAAAGAAAGAAAAAATTTGTAGGTTTTTTTTTTTTGTTTTTTTTTTGTGGGAATCAGAATAAACCCAAGAATTTTTTTTTTTTTGGCTAGGAGAAGAGAAAAAGATTGGATTTTGATCAAGGAATCAGATTAAAAACGACGGAAACTTAGCTGAGAAAGAATAAGCAGAGGAATAAGAGAAAAGGGTCTTTGCTTCTTTCTTCTTTTTCTTTGTTTTCTTTCTGTCTTTGAAGGTCTTTGAGGCGGCTAAGAAGGAAAGAAAAAAGAGAGGGAAAGAAGAGGGTTTAAGAGAGGAATAAAAAAAAAAAAAAAAGAAAAGGGCTTTGAATGAATGAATAAGTGAGGAAAGTAATTTTCTTTCTCTTTTTTTTTTTTTTTTGCCAAAAATAAATAAATGAGAAAGACACGACGTTTGGGAATGAGATGTATATAATAAATTGATTGGTCTTAAAGCCAAGCAATTTGATAAAAAGCTAAAAAAAGAGTATAATGAGAAACGGGGCAGGGCAGGGGCAGCTGCCCGGAGAAATCACGGGCAGCCCCAAACCGTGTGAAAGGCAAAATTGGCGCCAAAACTGGGGAGTTTTAGTGAGCAACGGCTCTATTTCCCGCGCTTTTGGATTTGGTGTGGGTTTCCGATTTTGCCCCTGTTTTGGCGTTATTATTCTGGGGACTGACACTGGGACTGGAGCCAGTCAGGGGCACAATCACCGGCACAGAAATGTCGTCGCTTATGGCACAATCGTCATCCTGGTTTTGGGTCGTCTGGGCCTGGCCCAACTTTTGAAAATTACGTAAGCCTTTAAACTCGTTTTTCCAAAATGGAAAGCCCAGACCTGCCTCTCTTGTCAGCTAATGCCATCCTTTATTTGGTTTTTTTTTAATGGAAAAAAAAATTAAAAATGAGAATTTTACTCAAGGTATGAAAAACTACCCTATTAGTAGCGTTTTGTTTTGAATGTTTAATATATATCCGATTTTATTAGTTTTGTATATATTTTTTATTTTGATGTGATTTCGTATTTAACTTTAGAAATATATGCTACTTTTTTTTTTTTGGTTAATAGAACCATATTCTACCTAAGAACCATGGAAATTGGAAAGCTCCAAATAAAAAACTCACTTGTCTGAGTTTATATTGGTAGTATTCGGCTGAAAACTACAGAATTGGAAGCATGCTTATCTTGTGACTAAATTAAGCCCCATACGTAAACGACACTCAAAATTGTAAATAATATAAAAGATGTCAATTCCAATATGATCTCTGACAACCCTCTCCGAGAAAAAAGTTGACCAGGTGTTGGATAAGATTGAGGCAAATTTTATACTCGAGTCGAGGTGGGGGGAAGGGAAAACTACAACATAATTATCCGTACAAATAAAGTAAAATTCACTTTGAGAAAAAAAAAATTAATTTGATGTGATTTTAAATAGATTTTAATAATTTTTTGTTATTATTATTATTATTATTATTATTTTTAAGATGTGATAATATAACTTAACATATTATTTTTTAATACATTTTAAAAAAATTTCTTTTTAAGAGTGTTAGACCCGTTTAATTAGTTGATTCGAGTTTTTAATTTAAATTGAGATTTAATTTTATGTGATAATTTTTTACTGTAGTATAAAAATTAAATGTAACTATTTTTTACTGTAATAAAACTTAAATTTTAAACTCAAATTGATAAAATGAGGGGGTCTAAACTGACGGTGCAGTAAGAAGATAGAAACCAAAACATAGCCTTATACGACAAAAGGGGTTTGCTCTATTATTATACATGCAAGGCATGGCTGCTTTGCTTGCATATGATGAAACATCGCCAGATTCACTCTCAGCTTAGCAAGAGAGGCCCAACTTTGAAATCACTCCTGACATGGCGCCACGTACGAATTAGGCTGTTCCAAAAACAATAATTTTTTGTATATCACATGGCTGTCATATTTAGTGGGTCCCAAAAGATTGGAGCCCACAAGACTAGATGCCAAATGCTGACCACATAGTGACCAGTGCCAAAGAGCAGATGAATCAGGATCCTCTGCTTGCTTATTCTTTCCCTCTTGGCCGGTGCCAGACCAGAACTAGATCACCAACGGTCGATTTTAACACGTTGTGGTCAATCTTAGCCGCTGATCATGTAGACGTCACATAAGAACTACTATCAGGTGGGCCCACGTAGAGTGCTTCATAAACATTTTTTTGGATAAGGGCGGTGGACTAGTGTGCTCTGGAACATCGGTATCAGGTGGACCACCGTTTATTTTATTAATGTGAATTTAGAATTTGAATTTTGATACATTAAAAAATTTTAAAAAACAGTTACATTAAATTTTTTTACTACAGTAAAAAATTTTTACATAAAATTTTATCTCAATTTAAATTAAAAATTTGAATCAACTAACTAAACGGACTCTAATTTATAACTTGATTGTGAAATATTTGGCTTCCAGAAAAAAAAAAAAAAAAAAAAAAAAAAAAAAAAAAAGAAAAAAAAAAAACTGATTGTGAAATTTGGCCATTTGGCTTTGCTTCCTAGAAGATGATTATTTCTATCTTTCAATTTAAGGCAACTTAAAAGGGAAAGAAGTTAGGTATAAGCTGAAGTACAAGTGTACAAGTATTCTCAAATTGTAAGCAAAAATCCAAATGAAGTTGACGAAATATGTTTAAATACAAACCAAGCCTTGCCCCTTTCTTATTTTTCTTTGATTTAATTTCATAAAAATACCGCTGAATTGACGCATCGAGTTGAATTTATTTCTTATTGTTTGGCAGCAGCCATAATCGTCAATTCAAGCAAAACGAACGTGGAACAAGAAAGTTTCAAAGGAATTGAAGAAAGTATACCTTCTGATTTCTAGGTTCTATTACTAGTCATAATAAATCAATGAAGTTTACCCCTCATCAAGGGCCTTAATCTAAGCTTCAATTCATTCCTATAAATTAGAGGGTAAATGAGATGTCTCGGCTCAAATTTTATGGTGAAAATATTTTAAGATTATTTTTAAGTCCTGTTCACTTCACCGATTCGAGTTTGTTACAGTAAAAAACTCACAGAAACAGTCATATCTAACTTTTTAAGTACAGTAAAAAATTTTCACATAAAATCACATCTCAATTCAAATTAACAAACTAAACGGACCCTTAAATTATCAACTCAATGTTTATCAGCCCTTTACTAGGAATATTACGGTGGCAAACTTCATCTTTTAAATCAAGTATTAATGCTCAAGGACAAAAATGTATGAAATTTTAGAAATTTCAAGGCCCCATATATTTTTGGGTGAAAAGAATTCTGATAAAATTTCAATGTGATTTCAGCAAAAGGGAATCAGGATAACCTCCTCTTTATTATAAGAATTTCAATGCCACCTTAAAGTCAACAAAGCATATAGAAAGAATTTCTGATTATTTTTATTGTTTCACAATTCTAAAACCTTGTTAGCTAATAAATTGCGTGCTGCATGCAATATCTGACCCACTGAACAAAAAAAAAAAAAAAAAAGAGCCGTGGGAAATTCCTACGTTAAATCCCCTTTCTAAATAACTTTAATTTTTTTTTTTGGGTTAAAATCAACTTTTTAAGGAAAATAAAACCAAGTTGCAACAACCACGAATGCATGGGCGGCACAGAACAACAATAATTTATTGTTTGGTCGGTCTGATGGGGATTGTCCTCTTTTAATGTTATACTTTCTTCTCTGCTATTATCCTGCTTTATTACATAAGCTAGCACCTGTGACAGATAGTCTGACTTGGCACCAAAGAAATTTCGGACATTATACCAGGGAAAAAAAAAAAGGGCGGTTTCACTACTGGGAAAAAAATATAATTTATTAGGAGAAAGAAAGAAAAAATAAAGAGAAGATTATTATTATTTATTTTTTGCTAAACATAATAGCACAAAAAATATAATAAAATCCAATCAAAATTCAGCTGTTAAAAAATTGGACGATATTTTTAATAGCCAATTTGATGGGAGGATTCGTTATTTGATTCGAATCATGATTTATGGTTCGCTACAGTGTTTTCTCTTATAAAAGACACGTAAATCAAAAATTATTCTAATCTCATGATTTTAATCCATGAACCAAACGGGTCCTAAGTTTTTCAATCATTGATTTGAGTTTTCAAACAAATACATCATTCATTTCACAAATTTAAATTTTCAGATATAGATTTTTACAGTTAAAAGCTCTTAAAAAATATCACATCTAACTTTTTATGCGACAGTGAAATGCTCTCAGAAAATATCACATCTCAACTCGAATTAAAAATTCAAATTCACAAAATGAACGGGACTAAAAAATAATAGATATCAGTTCAAGAAAAAAAGGGGGGAAAAAAAAAGAAAGCGAAATAGATATCAGTTTGAATATCGTAGTCGTAATGCTTTTTTGCAACTAGGGCGGTACACGTGGGTCCCAAGTCATCAAGATGAATTATTTTAGGCTGTTTGCGGCCAAACTTGACCATTCCAGGACCAGGTCCATCGAGTTCAACATCACCATTAACTTCCTTGAGTTATGATCCATGCCTCCATGGAACAAGATGTGGCTAACTCTTTTTGAGAGTTTATCAAGTAGGCACACGAAAAATAACTACCAAAAAAAATTATGAATGCGTTTGAAATTTGTTCTAAAATGATTTTATTTTTTGTATGAAAATAGAAATTAAAACGTTTATAATCTCAGATAGAAATTATTTTTAAAAATGCGTTTAGTAGTTTTTTCAATAGATTGTTTTTAGTATAAAAAATCTATTAATGTCTCTCTCTATTTGAGAGAGGAGAAAACGGAAATAAAAAATGAAAAATAACTAAAAGTCATTTTTCATTTCTCTCTCATTTTACACTAAACTAAAAAATCATTTTTATTTCCGTTTTTTATCTTTAATTATACCAAACGTCGTTTATTTTTTATTTTCATTTTTTTTTCTCAAAAAACGTGAAAAATAAAAACGAAAATAATTTCAAACACAGTCTATCTTTTCAACCGTTAAATGCGTACTTAAACTGTTTATTTTGTATATTTATTTTTAATTTGATATGATTTTAATCAAATTTAACGATTAAAAACTTATTGATTTTAACAACATGGAGATCCTATACCCTTCAAATATAATGTTTTTCTTTTTGATAATATTCCAAAGAATACTGCGGTGTCTTGAAAATATATAGCCATATTCTAAAAATAATCTTTAGTAATACATCAAATGCATGCCCCACACAAAGCTTTGGGAAACATGATAGGCTTCTCATATGTGGAAATTCTGTAAAGCGTGTTGGACTTTACTAATTTCATATTAGATGGATGCTAAGAGGCCAATTAGTTAAATAAACTTTTTGGCTTTATTAGGAAAACAGCCGATCAAAGTAGCTGTATCTTTTATCATAAAAAAAAGAAAGAGAAAAAGGGAAAAAAACAGCTGTATTTCATATTTATTTATTTATTTATTAAGATTAAGGGTGTCAATTCGTGTTAGTGAATTGTGTTTGTGTTAACTCGTTTATTAATTGTGTCAGAAAATATCAACCTAAACACGACCTGTTTATTAAACATGTCAAAAATATTATCCAAACACGACCTATTTATTAATCGTGTTAATCGTGTCAACCTGCACAGCCCGTTTAAATTAATATACTGAATAAATAACTAATATAACAATTACTTATTTAACACGATCATGACATGTTTAATATGTTTATTAGTCAATTTATCTTTTCCTTAAAAAAATAAATGAATTTTACCTATAAATATTAAAATTCATATTATTTGTATTTAATATGTTATATAAACTTTCACGTTATATCACATATCATTAAATTGCAGATGACACATATAATTAATCGTGTTAAATCGTGTCACTTTATGTTAGGAGGTCAACCCTAACTCAATTCGTTTATTAATCGTGTCAACTCGATTATGACTCAAATCTATTTATAGTAAACTCAAACCCACTAATTTCGTGCGGGTTTCGAATTGTATTTCGTATCATAACCCAAATTACCACCCCTAACTAAGACTAATCTGGTAACGTCGTTATATTTTCATTGTATGTTCGACCTAAATATACATTGAAATATTGCAAAATATTTATAAAATTAACTGATGTAGGATAGAGTTAGAGAAATGAAATTGAAATCATAGCCTCGTTCATTTTACCGATTCGAGTTTTTAGTTTTAGGTTTTTACAGTAAAAAGCTCTCAGAAAATGTCACATCTAACTTTTTTTGCTATAGTGAAAAACTCTAAGAAAATGTCACATCTCAACTCGAATTGAAAACTCGAATTCGCGAAGTGAACGATACCTAAACTGGAATAAAGGAAACACACAAGTCTAAAAATAACACGAAGTCAAGTCAGCATGAAATTTGAAACTCATGTAAATTCATTTATCAACCTCAACTGGATTGAAATTACATACATATAATCATATATTTTGAAAGTAAATATAAAAAAATAACCAAATTCTAATCTTCAGCGGTTACCATAATAGTCTTTAATCATGCTTTCGTAGATTTGATTTTGTTGTTTGACAAATATCCAATTAACACCTCATATTTTTACGGTCCAACCCAACTGTGGACCCACCATAAAAGAGCCAAATCTGACCCGACGCCACATGGACATAGTGGTCCCACAAGGCAAAAGATTCCACCGTTTCTCTATGTCTTTAAACATCATTATTATCATCCTTATCTTACGAAAGAATAAAATCTTTAGACTCATTACAGAAAATAACCAATCAGAACCACCTGCATCTTCAACATTTCTTTTCCTAATTATTAATTAATTGATTTTGGACATCTGAATCTAAACTCAAAACGTAATTCTTCCCCCTAACCGAAACTATGGCGTTCGTCAATAAAATTATTTGTTTATGGAAACCATATGTACCGTGGAAATTGATATATTTGTTAGATATTCAATACATCTAAAGAAAAATGCCTAACAACCTCAATGATGACGCTTAAAACTAGTTTTTACGCCAAACTCCCAACTTCAAGAAAGTTAAGAAGTGAAAACTTCACATTAATATTCACCTCATGACAATGTCTGATTAAACCAAAAATAATTGTGGTAAAAACTAAAAAGAATATCTAAGGAACGAGAAAAATGCTTAGAATAAAAAGTGCGTCTTACGTTGCGGGACTCACTTTCTATTAGTGCATCACGACCGCTGCCCTTAAAATTATTTAAGGTATTACTATACAGTTGAAATCTTCATCTAATATGACCATACACTTAAAACAGTGCACATTCACGCATCAAGATATTTTAATGCGACAACTCAAATAACAACAATAACAAAATATAGATCGGCAGTCCTAATCTCTGGGGTAGTCCTGTCTACCGCCATGAACAAGAGTGACCTACTAAATACTTGAAATAACAAAAATTCTTTTTAGGAGAATTTATCTCTTTTTTTATATTAAATATTCTTTTTAGGAAATTTTATCTATTTTTCATATTGCATCCCAAAAAAGGAGATCTATAATATAAAGTTATGAAAAAAAGGGATACTGTTGAAAAGTATTGCTGCTTCTTTGTCAAAAGTGAAAAAAAAAAAATGTGTTTTTAGCCTAAGGTTATAAGTGATATAATATAACTGGAGTTTCCCCAAAGTCCTATTTGTAAAAGCATGTGAATGATCAATCAGTAGGACCATTGGCATTAGTGGCCAACTCATCAATTACATTAACATATAACAAGTGGCATTTTGTCAGTTCCTGCCTACTTTTCGCAACATAACTATCAGGAGAAAATACAAACACTCGATAGCAAAATGTTTCACTGGTTGAACTTCAAAAAAGTTTTAACAAGATATTTCAGCTAGCTCAAAGTTCAAACAAATTCTCAGGCTCAGCTTTCAAAAGGGTTGCAGAGTTTGAATTCAGAAACACAAAGCCATTATGCTAGTTTTGTAGTTCTCGGATCAAATCAAAGTCGAGTTTTTTCATGCATATGAATGGCAACCCAAGCTGATATTCCAGAAGTCATATTGCATAAGGTATGGCATTCTAAGATCTTTGGTTCAGTATATTTTACTGTTTTTTGATGATTTTGTACGATGATGATATACTCGTAATATGTTTCTCAATGATCTGAACTATATATGAAGTTCTTTTATACTCTATTTAGTCCTTAAGATAGATTCACTATGACAGATTAGCAAGTTTGCAAGATCGTGTGTTTCTATAAAGGAATATCCTCAATTTTGATTTCAATACAAGAAGAGAAGAACAAGTAGAATTCAACAAACTAGATAGACTAGTCTTTTTATTTTGTTTCTTAAATCAAAATACTTGTCTGATCATCAAAAGCCAAATAGAAAGATATTGAAACTTTTATACATTTCTTTCCCACAAAGAGCAGATTCTTTTGATCCTAATCATTGAAAGTCCACTCCAATTAAGTCTATAGTAATTGTGATTAAACAAAGAGCAGATTATTTTGATCCTAATCATTGAAAGTCCACTCCAATTAAGTCTACAGTAATTGTGATTAAACATTTAAGTAGAGATATGAAGCAAGAGTTAGCTTTTCAAAAATGTCTCAGAAGAATAAGGCCAGCTTCAATATTTTAGGATCATGGAGATTAAAGCTTATAGAAGTCTCTTTCGTTTTGGAATGAATCAACCCCTATACTTGATTGATGAGACTAATATAATGGAAATAAAGTTTAGAAAATAAATTAAGAAAAATATTAATTATATCCCATAATTGACATCTTGGATCGAAAGTGATGATCTATTTATACTTTATATATTTTTTTTTTCCTGAAGGTGGCAGAAATTATGTGTAATGCCGCTATGCTGTGTGGATGGACAAAATCATATAATGAATCTATGATTAGTAGATATTCTCTGATATTAATCTGACTCGGATAATTAGTGGTTTATTTCACGTAATTCGATACGAGAAACAATTATTTTGTGCATTCATGTGACGTATCTTTCTTGTGATGAAAATGTATCGATAATTCGCGATAATTATGGAAAACTAGAGTGATCAGTTTCGATATCAGAATTCTGTATAACCAAAGGATTGATCTAATCCGTTCTCATAAGTTGGGAAAAGGGGAAATGAGGATAAGAAAATTGAAAAGAAAAGTATCGTGTATTTCACGTCCAAGTCTGCATTCTGATAACAGCCAGTGATTGAATCTTACGTAACTAACTATTGTCACTTTCTGCAGAAACTAGAAGTGGAAGACACAAGCTTAACAACTGGACAGTTTGAGAAGACTGTCAATGAATGTTTCCTCGTGGAAGTGAAGAAATATGAAAGTCAGCTAATCGAATGTCCAGAAACTCAAGAATGCCAGGCAGAATCAGAGAATAAGCAAGTAGAATGTAGCACTCAGGTTGAAATCACGAACAATCCCGTCAATGGCAACTCTGGGACCTTAGAGGGTGGAAGTTTTTTGGCATCACCCTCAGGTCCCACTATTTCCAGTAAAGAGGCCGGTGGACAAGTTGACGAACTCAGTTCGTCAGAAATAGAGACAAAGCATCTTGAGCAAGGCCAAAAGTTTGAGGTTGCAGAGGGAACAGCAAGAGAAGATGAAGTAATTGAAGAGAAAACGCAAAAAGCGGATCAGGTTGACGAAAAACTTGGTCAAAATGTGGAAGCGATCTTGAATCAGCAGGATTCAGTTGATAAAGGTTCAGGAAGTACTGAAAAGGAGATAAAAGACTCGGAGAAAGATGAGAGAGAAGGAGAAAAGGAAGACGGCCATGCTGAGTTATCAAGTAAAGAAAATCCCCGCATACCAGAGGTTACCTTGGATCATAAGGATGTTCAATCTGTTGTAGAGACTTGTCCCGAAGAGGAAAATGTGGACAATGCCTTGAGTACAGAAGCCGCACTCCTTAAAAAGGAATGTACAGAAGAAAGAAGCTTCGAAGAAATTAAGGAAGAAGACCAATGCGTTGGCTTGGATGATGATGTCGGAGATAACTGCTTCTCAACCAAAGCTTTAAGTCGCGAAGAAAGTCAGAATAATGAAACTGGCGAATCTGTGAAGGATGAGGTTGAAAGGGCAACTGTGACGGATGAACTGGGTGATCAAGAAGCTGGAATTGCAGAAAAGGAGAGACATGAAGAGGTCCTTGGTCCTGCATACAGCCAAGATGCTGATGAATTGAACAGGCAAGAGAAAGATGAAGCTTCAATCGAAAATGAACTGCAAGATAAGGACAGTTCAGCTACACTCATTGTTGCAAAGTCTGAAGAGGTGCCCTCACAAGAAAAAGACAATCCAGAGATACTAAAAGGAAGCTCCGAAATCGGGTCGGAGAACATTGCCAAAGAGAGCCTGATAGAGGTTACAAAACAAACTGAAATCTTCGAGGAAAATGCTCAAGTGAAAGGCGCAGCAAGTGGAGATACCAATAGTAATGAAAATTATGAACAAGAGCCTGAAATTTCATCCAGGAAACCCGATGAAGAGATTCGTGGAAAAGATGAGGGGCAGGATGTAACTGAGGCAGCAGTAGACGAGGCAAAAAAGACTGAAGGATCCAGTCTTGTGGCTGCTGAAGACATAACTACTGACAAACTTATCCAAGAAGAAGAACTTACAGAAGCAGAATCTACAAAGCATGAGAATCACCCTGATGATAATTTGTTGCCGCAAAAAGAAACAGAAGAGGAGAAGTTTGAAGAGCACTTCAATGTCGTCTCTGAGGAAATTAAGAGTGTAGCCTTAAGGGAAGATGCTACAACAGTCACCCCTATCAATGAAGAGGGAGAAAACAAAAGCCTTGAAGAAAGCTTCAAGGAAAGCAACGAGATTACGGTAATACATGCTTTAACGTTATTTTAATTTGTAAAGCTTTCAATTTTGTATCAAATTTATTTAGGTAAACAAAAGTTCTTTTTTTCAAGTGTCATCTTAAGCGTTTCTTTTATAATTTTCCTACCAGGGTACTTAACCAATGTCCTCTTTCGTTGGCAGAATCTCCCATTAACTGATGAGAAGGCTGAGAGTACAGAAGGTGAAGTTCAAGATAATGATGCCAACAACTCAAGTGACACTCACTTATTGGTTGAGCAAGCGGAAGTAACAGACGAAAAGATTGATGAAGTTTCAGAACTGGAATCTCATGAAAAAGATCAAACATCAGATGAAGCATCGGTAAGAGAGGAAACGCATGGTGAAGCTGAATCTGAAGGATACCAAATCACAGAGAAAGCATTTGTCCTCTCAACTGAAGAAGTAGCACCAACAGAAATAATCGTGAAGGCATGCGAAAACACTGGGGAAACCGAGCAGGATTGTGGAGTGAGCTCTAAAGAAAGCTTAGTGGCCCAGGATGCTGGAGGGAACGAATTAGAAAAGATAAAAAAGGAGGCGGAAGTTACTGACTTGGACGTGCAGAAATTTACATCAAGTAAGTAGCTTCAGATATTCAAGACTGTTATTTTCTTTTAAAATTTGTGGCAAAAAAGAGAGCAAGTTTATGTGTCAAACAATCTAGGCTAACAGAATATACACTTCTTGACTGGGAATTTTAACCATCAAGTTATCTCCTATGCATACCAACACGACGCACACATACATACACGTGTATGTATATATATACATGTTTGGACAGTTACATATCATATACTTTATTTGCCTAATCAACCAAGTGAAAGTACTATTTTAATGGTGCCCATGTAATTCTGAGTCGGAAACTAAGTCGGACAAATGTCTGCAATATAACAACTATGGAAACTTCTTCTGCAAGAAATCATCATTTAAGCATGGCAACTAATATAATAGCTGCAAAGGCCAGAATAGCAGAATATATGGAAATTTATCTGGGAACTGATGCATGTTTGACTTCTATTGCAGCTCAAGAATCTGAAGAAAGTTCGGCGTTAGATGATATCCCCGCTAAAGTTGACAATACTGTTGGCAAAATAACCGAGGAAGCTTCAAAGCCAACAGGTGAAGACGAGAGTCATAAACAAGAAGGCACAGCAGCAGATTTCAACAAAGGACAAATCAGTGAAAGAGATGTTGCAATTTCTACATCCGAATCAATACAAGAAGAAACAAGTAAGAGTTCTGAAGACAATGTAAAGGATGCAGAAAAGTTAAATGAAGAAGAAAGCCCTGCAGAGATCATAAAGGAAGGCAACATAAATGACCTCTCATTGGAGAACATTCAAGAATATGTAACAGAAACGTTAAAACATCCTGAACGTGAAGCGGAAAAGTCCAAAGAGGTTGGATAATGTGAAAAATCATCAAGCATAGTTAGTCTTTTTGGAGATTTTAGATTGTTGGTATACTCTAACTTGAAACTTAATTTACTCTGCAGGTCCTTGAAGAGTTAGAAACAGTGGGAGCAAGTGAGACAAATAAGGATATTGAAAGGACTTTTGATGGTTCATCAGTGAAGCAAGAAGAGGGTCAACACGAAGAAGGCAAATACCTAGATCGAGCTGAAGCTTCAATAGAGGAGAGTAAAGTTGTAATTGCAGAGGAAGAAGCCTTGGAGTCAAAAGGTGAAGATGAGGATCGTACACAAGAAAGCACCGAAGGAAATGCCGATGAAGAACAAATCATTGAAAGAGATGTTACATTTTCTACACCGGAACTAGTTCAAGAAGAAAAAAGTAGCTCTCAAGACAACATAAAGGATTCAGAGAACTTTTATGAAGATGAAAGCACTGTAGAGAGCATAAAGGAAGGCGACTTAGATGACCTCACACCAGAGAATACCCAAAAAGATGCAACCAAAACATTAGAAGATCGTGAGAATGAAGCAGAAAACTTCAAAGAAGAGGTTAGACTATGCAAAAAATATAAAGTCTAGTTGGCATTTTTGGGAAAATTATATTGTAAGTGCACTCTAACGTGAAACTTAATTCTGCAGATTGTTGAAGAGTTAGCATCAGGCAGAGCATGTGAGAGCATTCGATGTGAGACGAATAAAGATGTCAAAAGCTTTGTTGATGCTTCATCAGTGAATCAAGAAGAAATTAAGGACCAAGACCAAGAAGACCCAATCAAATCTTTAACAGAGGAGAATAAAGTTGAAATTTCCGAGGAAGAAGCCTTGAGGTCAAAACGTGAAGATGAGAGTCATAGACAAGAAGCAGAATCCGACAAAGAACAAATCATTGAAGGAGATGTTACATTTTCTGCGGCTGAATCAGTTCAAGAAGAAACAATTTCCTCTCATCATAACGTAAATGATGCAGTTGAAAGCATTGTGGATAGCATACCAGAGAATAACCAAGAAGATGAAACTAAAAAATTAAACGATCATGAAAATGAAGAAAGTTTCAAAGAAGAGGTCAGATTATACCGGAAATGATATTGTTGGTCAGTTTGGAAAACTTCAGATTTTAAGTGTACTCTAACTTGAAACTTTATACTGCAGGTTGTTCAAGAAACAGAAACAGCTGCACCAAGTGAGAGCATTTCATTTGAGACAAATAAGGATGGTGAAAAGTTTGTTGACGCTTCATCAATTAAGCAAGAGGAAGATCAGCAAGAAGGTAAGTACCAAGATCCAAGCGGAGCTTCAATAGAGGAGAATAAAGTTGAAACTCCCAACGAAGAAACCTCGAAGTCAAAAGGAGACGATGAGAGTCACAGACAAGAAAGCACAATAACAGATTTCAACAAAGAACAAATTGTTGGTGAAGAAGATACATTTTCTACTCCTGCAGCAATCCAACAAGAAACAAGTAAGAGCTCTCAAGATAACATTGAGGATGCAGAAAAAATTAATAAAGAACACCCTGCGGAGATCACAAAGGAAGACAACATAAATGACATCTCACTGGAGAATATCCAAGAAGGTGCGATTAAAGTGTTAAAAGACAGTGAAAATGAAGTAGAAAAGTCCAAACAAGAGGTTAGATTATGCAAAAATAATTAAGCCTAGTTGGTATTTTTGAATAAAAAAAAAAGTATCATGTCCTCTAACTTGAAACTTGAATGAATTATGTAGGTTGTTGAAGGGTTAGAATCAGCCAGACCAGGTGAGAGCATTCCATGCGAGACAAATAAGGATGTTGAAAGGTCTGAAGATGCTTCATCAGTGAAGCAAGAGGAAGGACAACAGGAAGAAGGTAAGTACCTAGATCCAACTGAAGCTTCAATAGAGGAGAGTAAACCCGAGGACGAAGCCTTAAAGCCACGAGGTGACGACGAGAGTCGCAAACAAGAAAGCACAGGAGCAGATTTTCATAAAGAAGAAATTGTTGAAAGAGAAGTTACATTTTGTACGCCAGAATCAATCCAAGAAGAAACAAGCAAGGCCTCTCAAGATGATGCAAATGATGAAGAAAAGATCACCGAGATCACAAAGATTAGCGAGATAAATGACCTCTCACAGGAGGATATACAAGAAGATGTGATTGAAACATCGAAAGATCATGAGAATGAAGCAGAAAAGTCGAAGGAAGAGGTTAGATATAACAAAGAGAGTCCAACCTATTTGGTCTTTTTGAAAATCTTTAAAATTTGCGGCAATACTCTAACTCAGAACTTAATGAATTCTGCAGTTTGTTGAAGAGTTAGAAACAGCTGGAGCAAGTGAGAGTATTCCATGTGAGAAGAATAAGGATGTTGAGAGCTCTTTCGATGCTCCATCGGTGAAGCAAGAGGAAAGTCAGAAGGAAGAAGGTAAGTCCAGAGATCCAAATGGTGCTCCAACAGAGGAAAATAAAGTTGAAATTTTTGAGAAAGAAGCCCTGAAACCGAGAGGTGAAGATGAGTGTCACGAACAAATCGTTGGAGAAGAAGTTGCATTTTCTGCACCAGAACCAATTCAAGAAGAAACTAGTAAGACATCTCAAGATAACATAAAGGAAGCACAAAAAATAAATGAAGAAAGTACTGCAGAGATCACAAAGGAAGGCAATATAAATGACCTCTCACAGGAGAATATCCAGGAAGATGTAATTGAAGTGTTAGAAGACCATGAAAATGAAGTAGAAAAGTCCAAAAAAGAGGTTAGATTATGCAGAAAACGATAGAGCCTAGTTGGTCATTTTGGACATTTTATAGATCGTTACGTTACTCAAACTTGAAACTTCATTAATTTTGCAGGTTGTTCAGGAGTTAGAAACAGCTGGACCAAGTGAGAGCATACCATCTGAGACACATAAGGATGTTGAAGGTTCTGTTGATGCTTCATTGGTGAAGCAAGAAGAAAGTCGGCATGAAGAAGGTAAGTACCGAGATCAAATTGATGTCTCGATAGAAGAGAACAAACTTGAGGATAAATTTTCTACCGAATTAGTGAAAAATGATGATGACAACAAAGTGATAGCTACAGAAAGAGAAATAGAGCTGGCAACAAAAGGCGAAGAAGATCAACAACAGGCCACACAGAAAGACGAACCTGAAGAGAAGCTTGAAGATTTACTTCATGTGACTCTTAAAGAGACCGATACTGAGAATTTGAGCGAAATGGATAGAGAACTTGCTTGCGCAGAAGTGGAAAAAGTTATTCAGAACCTTAACGAAAACTCAAAGACAAAAAAAGATGGAGAAAAACCAAAGATTACGGATGACACAAATGATTCAGAAAAGGAGGTACACGACTTGAATAAAACTTCCACACATTTTTCTCTGTTTTTTTATTATTATGATGGGACGTAATGTCTCCCCATATTAGTCATGACAATAATGAAAAAGAAGGATCACAAATGGTTGTAATTTGTACGACCAGAATGCAGAACAATCATTAAATTAACAAGAAAGTACAATACGGAGGTTAAGATTATTGGAAAAGTCTTTCTGACTATTCTTATTCAAAATATAAACTCAATGCAGATACCTAAAGAATTGGAAACAACAGAAGCAGGTGAGAGACTTCCATATGAGATAAATGAGGATGCCGAAAGTTCAGTTGATGCTTTATCATTGAAGCAAGAGGAAAGTCAGCAAGAAAAAGTAAAGTACATCGATCAAGTCAAAGCTTTGACGGAGGAGAACAAACTTGAGGAAACAGGTACTGCTGAAGTAGTGAAAGATGATCAAGAAAATAAAGTATCAGATGCATCATCAAAAGACGAAGTAGATCAACAACACGCCACGCAGAAAGAAGAATATGAAGATAAGCTAGAAAATTTGCCTTGTGTGACGCCTGAAGAAACCAAGGCAGAAACATCAACTGAAAATGCGAGAAGTATTACTAGCATGGAAGTGGAGGGAACTGCTCAGAATCTTGAAGAAACCTCTGAAACAGAAAAGACAAAGGATATAGACAATACAAATGATTCGGAGAAGGAGGTATGACTGCAAAATTTTTTTTATATTTTTGCTTGTTTGTTTCTTCTTATGTATGATGATACGTGTTGTTTGCCATATGAGCTACGATGATAACCAAGTTGAAGGATCAAAAACAGTTGTGACTCATATAATTAAATATTAAACAATCATGAAAAATCCAATTAAGAGGTTAGATTATGCTAAAAATCATCGACCTTGAAAGAATTCGAATTGTATACTCGTAAGTTGAACCTTAATTTTTTCTGCAGATTCCTAGAGAATTAGAAACGGCGTATGTTGATGAGGAGGTTGAGCATTTTGTTGAATCTTCATCCATAAATCAAGACGAAATTCCGCAGGATGAAAGCAAGTACTTGGATCAAGTCGAAGCTCCAACAGAGAACATAGTTGAGGAAATTTATTCTACCGAAGAAGTTAAAGAAAATGACGGCAGTAAAGTCGAAGTTACAGAGAAAAAGGTAGAGGTGGTGTCAAAGGATGAAGAAGATCAACAACAGGCCTCGCAAAAAGATGAACCGAGAGAGAAGCTTGAAGATTTGCTTCATGTGACGCCTGAAGAAAGCGATACGGAACCATCAAACGGAATTTCTAGAGAAATCACCTGTGTAGAAGTGGAAGGAGCTGTTCAGAATGTTGACGAAACCGCAGAAACAGAAAATGAAGGAGCAAAGACAAAGAACGTGAATGTTTCAGAAAAGGAGGTATACGACTAGAGCAATAATGCTATATGTATATATATTTTTACATTTTTAAATATTTTTTTACAATTGCTCTCTGTTCAATACAATTTGATTGTTTGCTCTAACATGAAACTGAATTTACTTTGCAGATTTCTAATGAATTAGAAACAACAGAAGCAGGTGAGAGCTTTCCATGCAAGATAAATGAGGATGCTGAAAGTTCTTTTGATGCGCCCTCAGTGAAGCAAGAAAAAAGTCAGCAGGAAGAAGTTAAGTACATTGGTCAAGTCCAAGCTTCGATCGAGGATAATAAACCTGAGGAATCATTTACCACGGAAGTAGTGAAAGTTGATGATGAAAATAAAGTATCGACTCTAGAATCAAAAGCCGAAGAAGATCAACAACAGGCCGCACAGCAAGACAAACCTGGAGAGAAGCTCAAAAGTTTGCTTCCTGTGACGCCTGAAGAAACGGAGACAGAAACATCAACTGAAAATGCTCAAAATATCACCTTCATGGGAGTGGAGGGCATTGCTCAGAACCTTGAAGAAACCTCAGAGAAAGAGAAGACCGAGCATGTGGATAGGACTAATGATTCAGAAAAGGAGGTATGGCTATAATACAATAAAAACTATACATATTTTTGTTCTCTATTTCTTCTGGTCTATTATTATTCCTCTTGAGTTATGATGATAACCAAGTTGAGAACCATAAAAAATAGTCGGTCATATAATAAACATATTAAAATGATCATTAAACTGAAGAAGAGAAATTTATAAACAGGTTAGGTAATAGGAAAGCCTTCAAGCCTAAAAGATCTTATTCGAAAAATTTTGATTGAATACTTTTTAACTTGAAACATAATTATTATGCAGATTCCTCGAGACTTAGAAACGGCTGGAACAGGTGAGAGCAATCCATGCAAGACAAATGAGGATGTTGAAGGATCTGTTGCTTTCTCATCGGTAAAGCAAGAAGATCAGCAGGGAGAATGTAAGGAGCTAGATCAAATCGACACGTCAAAAGAGGAGAATGAAATTGAGGACGCATTTTCTAAAGTAGTGAAAGAAGATGATGACAATGAAGTTAAAGTAACACAACAATCACCCCTGCAGAAAGATGAACCGGAAGAAAAGCTTGAACATTTGCTTCAAGTGACGCCTGAAGAAACCGGGCCAGAAACATTGAGTGGAAATGCTGCAGATATTACTTGTGTGGAACAGGACGGAACTATTCAGGACGTTGAAGAAACTTCAAAAACTGAAAACAAGGAAGAAAACATGAAGAATACGGATGATACAAATGCTTTAGAAAATGAGGTATGACTAAAACTTATTGGTTTCTTATTTATTTTTTCTCCATACTAGTGCAATTCCCATGTCTTGCCAGTAAAATAAATAAATAAATAAACAAATAGCAATAGCAGAACAAATTTAACTGTCATGTATGTGTGCTTTCAACTATAACGAAGGTGTCTATATCTAATAAACAAATTCTTTTGTTCCATTCCCCGCATAGTCTCTTTCATATTTGTTATTTCTTAGTCAATTATCTGTATTAAAAAAAAAAGACAGAAATGAAAGAACATGTAGTTAACTTTTCAATATGTATTTTTTTTTTTTTTTTTTTTTTGGTTGGACATAAAATATGTGTTCGTGGCTGCATTTTTTTCGCTTTCTAATTTGCTCTGTTTTCTTCAAGCACATTTGGCACTATAGAAATAACTTGTTTAGATCTGATGAAACCAAACGATCACCAAAAAGGGAAATAAAGTTCTTTAATTCTGCTTTCATTAGGAGAAAAATAAAAGTTCCTTAATTCTGCTATACATGCTCTAATCAATCCCCAATTTTTTATGATGGGAAAATTCCTCTTTTGATATAGGTGTTCGAGACTATAAGTGTAGTTCAAAAAACCAGAGAGGAGTTATCAACGGAAATAGTTGAGGAAAGCTCAAAGGAAGTTGAAAATGTACGGAAATTTAAGGTCATCTTATGTACAAATGTGTAATGAATTCAGCAAAACTTGTTGCGTTTGAGAATACTTTCTGTTTGCTAATCATAAGAATTATGATTTAAATCTTAAAAACAGATTGAGCAGATAAAACCTGAAAACTTAGAGGACAATGCAAAGCCAAATGAGGACTTGTGTACTACAATAACCACAGAAGCTCCAGAAGAAGAAAGACGAGAGAAAGAGCCTGCCGTACATGATGGCTCTGACTCTGGATCAGCTGGAATTCTTGCAGACGAAACAAACGCGAAGGAAGCAAAACCAGATGACAAGGAGGAGGTTAAAAGTTATGGAATTTCTCTTGAAGAGAAGGATTTGAAAAACAATCAAGTACAATCTGAGTCTATTGCTCCTGAAGAACTAACAAGCATTGTCGGTTCGGCCACAACTGAAATTGTGACGGAAGAAACATGCTTGAAGGAAGCCAAACCAGATGATGAAGACCAAACCAGGAATTCTGATGTTGCTTTTGAAGAGAAAGGCGTGTCGAGCAGTGTAGATGTTGGCTTAGAATCTGACTTTGCCTCAACTGGTATTTTGAGTGAAGAAGCAAGATTGAAGGAAGCTGAACCAGATGATGAAGAGCAGGTCAAAAGTTATGATGTTGCTCTTGAAGAGAAGGGTCTAGCCAGCAATGTGATTGTTGAAGAAATTGCGAGTGAAGAAATCGCTGAAATCGCAGATGAGGAAACATTGAAGGAAGGCAAAGCAGACGACAAAGAGTATGTCCAATGTTCTGATTTCACTCCTGAAAAGGAAGGTCTTGTAAGTGACGCGGACATTAAAGTACAATCTGCTTCTGTCTCAACTGAAACTAAGAGTGAAGAATCATGTCCGAAGGAAGCCAAACGAGATCACGAAGAGCAGCTCAGTGGCTTAAACATTGTTTCTAAAGAGAAGAGTCCAAAAAGCAGTTTAGATGCTACACTTGTAAGTGAAGAATTGAAGGAAGTCATAACGGATGACAAGGAAGAGGTTAAAAGTCACGAAGAAACAAGCTCGGAGGAAGTTGCACCAGAAACATGTGACAAGGAAGCCAAACAAGATCTAGATCTAGAAAATAATTGTGTCATTTCTCCTGAAGAGAAGAGTTTGGCAAGCTGTGTAGACACTGAAATTATGAGTGAAGAAATAGCTGAAATTGTGAATGAGCAAACAAGATTGGAGGAAGGCAAAGCAGATGACAAAGAGCATGTCCAAAGTTCTGATTTCGCTCTTGAAAAGGAAGGTCTCATAAGTGAGGCGGATGTTGAAGTACAATCTGCTTCTGTCTCAACTGATACTACCAGTGAAGAAACAGGTGTGAAGGAAGCCAAACGAGATCATGAAGCGCAGCTCAGTGGCCTTAACATTGTTTTTGGAGAGAAGGGTCCGGAATGCGGTTTAGATACTAAACTTGTGAGTGAAGAAACGAGTTTGAAGGAAGTCAAAACGGATGATGAAGAGTGGGTCAAAGATAGTGCTCCTGAACATGAGAGTCCGGTAACCTATGTTGATACTAAGGTACAATCTGACTCTATCTCAGCTCGCTTAGAGAGCGAAGAAACATGTTTGAAGGAAGAGGAACCAAAGAATGAAGAGGTCAGGAGTTATGATATTGCTCCTGAAGAAGAAAATTCAGTAAGTGAAGAAACTGGCGTGAAGAAAGCTGACTCAGATAACAAGGAGGACGTCAAAAATTCCGATATTGCTTCCGAAGAAAAGGGTGTGGAGGGCAATGTCGACAGTGATGAACAACGAAATGAAAATGTAACGCCGGAAGAGAATGAAGAGAACAAACAAACAACAAAAGAGGGGCTATTGCAAGAGGAAAATGACTCTAAATTGGAGTCTTATGCTGAGAAAGAAATTGCGAAGGAAGAAGTTCAAGAGCAGAGGGATGAGGAGCCGAGAATGCCACCTGAGATCACAATCAAGGATGGCATTCCAACCGAGGTATGACTAGAATAAAAACTTCCATATTTTGTTATTGGTCTCTTCTGTATTTCTTCTCCATGCTAGGTGCAATTTCCATGTTGTGCCAGTACAAATACTACTACTACTAATAATAATAATAATAATAAAAATAAAAATAATCATAATAATAATAATAACCATAATAATAATAACATTAATAATAATACTAATAATAGTAATAATAATCATAGAATTAGCAAAAGCAGAACAATTTAACTCTCTCATGTTTGTGTACTTTAAATTATAGCGAAAGTGTCTATATCTAATAAACAAATTCTTTTATTCCATTCCATACATAGTTTCTTTCATAATTGTTATATTTTAGTCAATTTTCTGTGCGGAAAAAAGGAAACGAACATATTGTTAAATTTTTCCATAGATTTCATCTATAATATGTAAAATATGCATTCATGGCTGCATTTATTTGCCTTTTTTTTTAATTTGCTTTGTTTTCTTCAAGCACATTTGGCACTAATTTGGTACATGCTCTAATTTGTCTTAATCTTTTTCTTCTTTTTTTTGGAAAATTCTTTCTTTGATATAGGTGCTTGATACTACAAGTGTAGTTCAAGAAACCAGAGAGGAGGTATCAAGGGAAATAGTTGATGAATGCTCAAAGGAAGTTGAAAAGGTAGGCAAATTTAAGGTCAGATTATGTACAAATATGCAATGGATTCTACAAGAGTTGTTGTGTTAGAGAGTCCTTTATGTTTGTTAATTTACATTTTTGTTTACTAATAAGAATTTATGATTTACTCTTAAAAAAACAGATTGAAGTGGCGGATGTGATAGAGGAAACAAAACCTGAAAGCTTAGAGGACAGTGGAATGCCAAATGAGGACTTATGTACTACAATAATCACAGAAGCTCCAGAGGAAGAAAAAATTGTAAAAGGAGAAACACAAGAGAAAGAGCCTGCCGTACATGATGGCTCTGTCTCTAGATCAGCTGGAATTCTCGCCGAAGAAACAAACGTGACGGAAGCCAAAACAGATTATGAAGAGAAAATCAAGAATTCTGATGCTGCCTCTGAAGAGAAGGGTGTGTTAAGAAGTATAGATGTTGGCTTAGAATCTGACTCCGTCTCAACTGGTATTTTGAGTGAAGAAGCTAGATTGAAGGAAGCTGAACCGGATGATGAGGAGCAGGTGAAAAGTTGTCATGTTGCTACTGAAGAGAAAGGTCGGGAAAGGAGTGTAGATGTTGAGGTACAATCTGATTTTGCCTCGAGAGTTGAGACTGACGAAACAAGCTCAAAGGAAGCTGAACCAGAGAGTGTAGAAGTAGTCAAACGTTATGATATTGCTCCTGAAGAGAAGGGTCTAGCCAGCAATGTGCTTATTGAAGAACAATCTGATCCCGTCTCAACTGAAATTGCGAGTGCAGAAGGCAAAGCAGACAACAAAGAACACGTCCAAAGTTCCGATTTTGCTCTTGAGAAGAAAGGTCTCGTAAGTGATGCGGACATTGAAGTACAATCTGCTTCTGTCTCAACTGAAACTGCCAGTGAAGAATCACGTGTGAAAGCACAGCTCAGTGGCTTAAACATTGTTTGGGGAGAGAAGAACCTGGAAATCAGTTCAGATACTAAAACTGAAAGTGAAGAAACAAGTTTGAAGGAAGCTGAATCAGATAACAAAGAGGAGGTCAAAATTTCTGATATTGCTCCTCAAGAGAAAGGCGTGGCAAGCTATGTCGTCGGTGATTTACAACAAAGTGAAAACGAGAAGTCAGAAGAGAATGAAGTGGACAAGGTCCCGGAAGGAACAGGTGAAAGTGAAGAAAAAATAGAGCAAGAAATAAAAGGTGAAACTCGTATTGCGGGAACTGAAAATAAAGAACAGGCCACCAAGGCAGAGACATCTTTGGAGGACTCATTAGAAGCCAATCTTCAAGATTCTTCTACAGTATCATCTGTAAAACATGAGCCCGTGATTACTGAAGCAAGTGAGAGATCAGATGAGAGTATAACTACCGATAAAACCAAATGTGAAAATGAAAATCTTCCTACAACTGAACCAACAAAGGGAGAGCTATTACAAGAGGAAGATGTCTCTAAATCGGAGTCTTCTACTGAGAAGGAAATTGCGAATGAAGAAATCGAAGGGGAGAGGGATGAGGAGTTGAGTTTGCCACCTGAGATCACCACCAAGGATGTCATTACAACCGAGGTAAGGAATTAAACTTCTTCTAAGTCTTGCTTTATTATCATTATTTTTTTCCTCATATTCCTTTGGTCTTAAACTAAAGTTTTGCTATTTTTGTTAACTCTATATAAGATGAAAAAGGTACATGATGGTGTTGAAAACGCTGTGGAAAATGAAAGCAATAAAGAACAGGTCACAGACAGAGTGATCAACTTGAATGAATCTCATCCGGTATCCATTGTTGATGAAAGAGTTTATGAGGTTAGCTTCTTAGCATGAGAAGTGTACTTATATTTCCTTGGTTTGCTTATTTTCTCTTCTATGAAATTTAGCCAGAATCTCAATTTTTAAACAGGATAAAGTTTCTGGCGAAATAGTCACTGAAGTTGTTAGTAAGAATTTCTCACAGGCTAAAGAAACCTCTACCGAGGAAAATGAAGAATCTGCCCCAACAGCACCGGAAGAAGAAAAAATATATGACGAAGGAAGCATAAAGCCTGTGGATGTCAGTATTGCTAACAATGAAACTACAACCGTCAGGGAGGAAACATCAGTGACAAACTCGGGGGAAGCTCAATCGGTTGAGACCGATTCGGAAGAGAGAAATCCAGTCTTACAAGAATCTGAGTATGATAAACTACCAGCTCAAAAAGTTGAAAGCGTTAAAAAACTTGAAGAAAGATCCTTTGACTTGGATCAAGCTGATAAAAAAGAAACAGAGAAGGAAACTACAGTAGAGGAAAGCTTAAATGAAGTTGAAGAGACCAAACTAGCTTCTCAAACTGAAGACGTCGATGCAACCGGGCCAATCCGAGCTATGGAGAAACTGGAAACGGATGAAGTTAAAGAAGAAAACAAGGAAACATCTGAATGTCGAGGTGTCAAGGCAGTGAACGAACATGAAATCACAAGCGAACACGCTTCTGATGATGGAATATCAAAGGAGAAAGAGCATGAAACAGAAACCATAGTCGAGGAGAAAGAAGAAATCGTTAAAGAAGTTGAGAGTCAAGATAAGGAGAAAATAGAAGCCTCTTCTGCTACACATTTGGAGAGCCCAGAATCTCATGAGGCGGCGGAGGAAAGGCTGGGAAAAGAGGGAGCTGAAGAAGATATCAAAACAGCTCCTGAAACGGTGTTGGAATCTCGTTATGAAAGCATTGAAGCAGTGAGCAAAGATGAAGTCATTGCTGACCGGGATCTCAAAGTTGGAGTTTCAATAGAGCAAGTTCAAGAGCTCGAAACTACCGAAGTAGTCAAGAAGACACAAGAATATTTGGTCTCAGACAAGGTAGAAGAGACAGAATTGAAGGAAGAAACTGAAGAAGAAATCACAGAAGCTCCTATTACAGTGTCTCGCTCCGATGAAACTCGAGCAGAAACCAAAGATGCTTCTGAAACAGTGTCTGAATTCGATTCTCGGAGCGTTGGACTCGTTACAGAAGACAAAAAGATCTCCAGTGAGACATTCCTTGGAACCGCATCGGAAGTTCAACTTCTAGACCAATCTTACGTGCTGCTTTCTGAGGAACAAGAGGATGAAATCACAACCGCAGCCAAAGAGAGAGAGGAAAAAACAACAGAAGAGACGAGCTCAGAAAAGGAAGTGCTGGGTGCAGATAAAATTAGAGACATCACAGAAGCTTCTGAAACAGTGTCTAAAGAAAATTGTCCAGGCAATGAAGTTGTTGACAAAGATTCATGGGGTGTAAAACCAGTTGAAGAGGTATACTTGGATAAGGAAGATTCTGGTGGTGCTGTACGGGAAGTTTTAAATGAAGTGTCAAAGGAAGAATGCGGGACTTTCGGTGAAGTCTCGAAAATAGAGCCCCAAGAAAGTGAAGGAGACACAAGAGTTGCTGATTCTCCATCAGATTATGATAAAGACTTGGAAGCAAGAGGAGCAGTTACGGAAGCCTCCAATCTCAACGTTGAGAAACGCGAAATAGCTTCCGACTTTGTTTCTGAGAAAGTTGAGTCTCCTGAAGGACTAACCAGCATTGAAGAGGTTGAAATCATTGAGAATCATCTCAAGGTAGCAACAACCGATTTGAGGACCGAAGAGCCTCAGTGTGAGACGACAATAGAAAAGACCACAGAGAAAGAAATCTCAGACAAAGAGGTTAACTACAAGACTCCCTCTCTCTCTCTTCTTTGATTTTATTTTATTTTTTTTCTTGCTTCTTTCTCTAACTATAATGTAAATGGTGATCAATGTTACACGCAGGAACTAAGTACAGAGATTTCACGAGAAAAAGATGGCCTTGACGTTAAAGAAGTCCATGAAATCATTCAAGAAATCAAGCAGCCGGAGGAAAGCTCCCATGCAACATGCAAAGAGCTAACTCCAACGGAAGCACAAGACAAAGACGGCTTGGAAACAAGAATTACCACCAACGACAATGATTCTCCCCCAAAGCTTACAAGCCCAGTTGAAGAAACTTCACAAAGAGCAGAACACAAAGACACACAACCCGGAAATGACACGTCGGTGAACAGAGAAATCTTTGTTACAGAAATCAAAAAAGAGGAAGGCCAAGGAGAGAATGTAATGGGTGGAGGCAAAACTGAGACAAAACCAGCAGTTGTTTCACTATCTGATATCATGCAGAGCTTGAAAGAAGAGACTGTCGAACACGCCGGTGAAGAGAGAGAAGAGCCGACAAAGAATGGCAGAGAAGCAGAGAAGACGAAAACCGATGAAGAGGAGGAGGAAGAAGAAGAGGATGAGCATGAGCATGAACATGAAGAGGCAGATCACCCAGATGCACCAATCCTTGTGCAAACCTCCAAAGACATTGACACCAAAGTTGGACGCAAGAAATCTCATGGCTTATTCTCAGGTGTTGGGTCAAAGGTCAAGCATTCCATTTCCAAGGTCAAGAAAGTCATTATTGGCAAGTCTTCACATTCCAAGACACTACCCAGTGGTTAGAAAAACACCATCTTTGGTGATTTACAATTTTTTTTCTTTTTTTTTTTCAGTTTGATGTTTGTAGAGTTTTTTTAAAGTTATTATTATTTTTTAAGCGTGTGGTGTGTGGTTTTACCGGTCGTGGGTTGAACTAAAGATTTGAGACTTCTTATTTGTACAAAAGAACAATTTAAAGAGTAAATAGATTGTTCATAATAATGTATTCAAAATACCATCTCAACTCAAAATTCACACTCACCCCAGTACTTTTTCGTCAACAATGTCTTCCAATTGAGTTGTTAGAGCATTATCCAAATGAGCATGGCTACCTCATATGAATGCCAAAGTTCAAAATACGAGGGTGCAAAAGCACCTTAATCTAGCCTCTAATGAAAGAAAGCACTTCAGGCACGTACATAAATGTAATCGCCAAGAATAATTTTAATTTCAAAATAAAGCAGCAATAGTGTCCACCAACGACAAGACTTGTTTTTTCTTCTTCTAATATTACAGAAGTCGACATGTAAATATATAAAAGCCCAAAATTTGCGAACCACTTCAACTCTATGATTTCTGAGAGACTCTATTATTTTTCTTCCGTTCTTTAAGAAGATTGATCTCGTCCCGCTTTCGTTGTTTGCCAATCTGAATAAAGAACGAGAGATGGCTCAATCACTCTAAGTACAGAACAGGGTGAAAGAATAAATAAGTGCATTTGAACACTAGTTACCTCAATAGCTTCATAAAGCCGTCTCTTTTTACGGGACATAACAACTTTCGACATGTTTGCGGTATCCTGAGCAATTTGTTCAGCGTCAGGAAGAGATTCCTCCCTAACTTCCGTTTCCTCAACAGAAACCTGCTTCGATGTCGACGATGAATATGAGACACCCTGAAGTTCCATCTTTAGTTCATCATGATACTGCTTCTCAAGGGTCATTATCTGCGCATCCAATTAGAATTTGATATGGCCAATCAGGACGCAATGAATATTACAAAGAGAACAAGTAACACAAAATGTTCCTAAAACAAACACATTGAATATTATGTATCTACAAGACTGCATTTGGTGAGGCAATCATTGTCTCATTCCATAAATTAACTTAGTAGAACTTTAAAAATTGCCAACCTTTTGCTTTCTCTCAGCAGCTTTATTAGCCTCTGCTCTATCAATAACACCTTCTGCCAGTAAACTCTGTGGATCTTCTATATCTTCTTCGCCGACGCCTGGGAATGGAAGGACTTGATTTTTGGCCGCAGCCTGCAAGCGTTTAATGGTCTCGGCATAGTCTGGGACGTAACCTACTGCATCATTGTCAACAAAAGGCGACAAGTGCGATGGTGGAACCCTGTTGACAGGAAGATTGCATCAATTATCTAAAAAACTCATAGACAGACACACAGAGACAAGATGTTTTTATGATTTATACAATATTAGTAGTAATGTTTCTCATTCATCCATTTCTTACATGTGTTACTTATTCGCGAAACTTCATTACACTGAAATGTTTTATCATGGTGTAACAAAAAAAAGGGAAATTACACAGAAAATTTTCCATACTATTACCTGCCAACCAAATAACCTTCAGTGGGCAAAATGATCCTTGCATTTACACAGTCACATATCCACTGTGGTTGAACATATTCTCTAGAAAGGATTCTGTGAGTCTGTGTTGGCCTGTCGACAATCTGCACATAAAAGAAACAACTCTCAACGGTAAAAACAGTAAATGATAGGATATAGATCGACGTTGTTCATTTTCCAGCTCTTATAGCGTACAAGAAAGCAAACCTGATAAGTAATACCATCATCGTTTTCATCGAATGGAGCTCCCTCTCCTTCCCAGGACACCGTGCCACCAAAAGCATGAATAACAAACAGCAATGACTCTCGAGGAACCTGAAAAGAGTAAAAATTAACTCTTCATTCTTCAATGGAAATTAAAAGATAAATAAATAAATAAATTACAAACAAAACAGAGGTCCTTCTAATACCAATCAGTTTTAAATTATAATAAAACTTTGCTTTCTCATTGTTCAGTGCATACCATCTAGATATGCAAAGATATATGAAAGGAAAATTAATTTATTTCTAGTTCCAATGGAGATTGGTCTCACCTCACGGCTCAAGAAGAATTTCATATTTCTGAAGAGTTTCTTGCATTCCCTTGTATCTTCATCCTCTTCTTCCTCATCACCAGCAACATCTTCCACAAGGTGCATTAACGCACCGGGTTCATTGGAAGGGAGTTGATGCTGAAGTTGGGCTAGTCTTAATTCAGACTCTTTAAGTGCAGTCCCCTGACCCTCTTCAGATCCAGACAAACTAGAAGGCTGAGGATCTAACTTGGAAGCTCTGGAGCCAGCAGCAAACCACCTTGATAATGCATAAAGATCTGCAAAACTCACATGATACTAAATTACAAAAACATTCAACAAACAAAAATTTATTTACAGCTACAAATACCCAAGACTAAACAAAAAAGGGTAAAAGAAAGCATACCTGCTGCCAAAGCTTCCAACTGAGGATCAAGAATTGGTGGATATCTCACATTTATGGAATTATATAGATGACAATTCACAAAGGCAAGAAGCGTCTACAGCCAAAAATAAAAATAATAATAAGCAAAGCAGAAGAGAAACAAAACTATTCAATCTCAAAGAATAACTCGTCAACATATGACCTCATTGAATTCTAAATATGTTAGCATGACATTGAAATCAATGTCATCAGTTAACACTTGCTGCATGGCATGAGGGGTTAACCATGTAATCTTTTGCCCTTGTACTTCTGCCTGCGCATATAAACATGTACAGGTAAATCCATGATGATAATGGTAAAAACTGATCCAACATAACGCAAATTTTCAAATTTTACAAAAATAAATATGTACTATACCTGATAATATATGCCTTTAACAGATACAAAGACCTTACGCAACTTGTGAGTCCGAGAAATATATGCCAGCCATTCATGGCTCAACCTAGAAAAAGATCCAACAGGAGCCCAGAAATAAGTGCCCACAACACTATGCCTGCACAGATTGAGTATGCCACAGAAATCATATCTACTTTTTTACATGTTCAGAATATCTACCTTCGACAGTTATGGACACGCTTTACTTCAACTTTTTCCCTCTCTAATGCAGGTAAAGCAGCAAACAGGTGTACCATTGTAAGACAGTCGTCCAAATCTCTGAGCGCATCGACAAATTTTGGATACCTGAAATTCCAAAATGTGTCCAAACAACTATGTTCAGGTACTCATTCTATCATATAAGAGAGCCGAAAATATTTTTGAAAATATATGGAACGAGACAAACCTCTCTCTAATAAGTCTATCAAGTTTGTAATTGGGTCTACGTACTTCTAGCTGCTTTGCACGTTTCTCATTCTTCTTTGCCTTGGCTTTCTTTATCTTCTTCTCATAAGCCCTTAAATCTCTAAACGTCTCAAGCAAGGGCTCATGCTGAAGAAAGGCAATATCCTTCAAGTGATAATAAGTGTGGTGGTTTCCTTTAACCTTTTTCTTCGGCTCCCGCGGGAAGATACCCTTAAGAATGCATAACTTCCTATTGCATACCCAAAAAAAACCGAAACATTTAGTGCCAAATCTTTCAAACCCATTTTTACCAAAACAAATCCACAACTTAGTGGATATTGTAATGAATATTCTTTTCAACAAATCCACAACTTTCATTTCAATCTGAATAAATTATGAATGTAAAAACTACATAACAAGACACTATATCCGAATTTGCTTATCAGATTTCCCCAATGAGTTAGTTACAATATAAACAATTGAAACACAGACCATTTAAACACCAGGCTTAAATATAAAAATCAATAAAAGTAAAAATAAAAAAAAGGCTCTGCTTCCAAGGATATAATGAAATGAATCTAATCAATAAAAAGCAAACTTAAACTCCAAAAAAAAAAAAAAAACAAACAAACAAGTAAAAGAAACAACAAATGAGAATCCAATCCCATTTCGGTTTTGCAAAACATAAATTCCTGGTAAAAATCATAATAGAAATCAATTGGTTCGGAATGAGGACGAGAGATAGAGAGAGAGACCTGAAAACGGGAAGACTGACTTGAAGAAGCTTGACAGCCTGCGACCTGGTGACGTACCTAGCGGCGTTTCCTTCCTTTTTCTTACCCTGGAAAAATACAATGAGAAAGTTGGAAGTTAAGAACTTTGATTTGAATACGAAAACAGTTGAGTTCAGTGATGAGATGGTGGTGAATCGGAACTCACAGGGGGCCTGTAATGCTTCGGCTTTCCCATGGTAAGTGGACGCTCTGAGAGAGAGAGAGAGAGAGAGAGAGAGGAGGCTAGTGGAAAATACAGGGAAGTATATGTTAGGGTTTAAGCCGTACCGCTCGCGCCGCACGGGTTTGATTCGGGTCGGTTTTGAGTCGGGTTATTTATAGCCCGTTTAGTTCGCTGATTCGAGTTTTTAATTCGAGTTGAGATGTGATTTTATGTGAGAGTTTTTTACTGTAGCAAAAAAGTTAGATGTGATTATTTGTGAGAGCTTTTTACTGTAGCAAAACTTGAATTCTAAACTCGAATCAACGAAATGAACGGGTTAGTGAAAAGCGCACAAAGCTGTGCACTACTCCTAATCCTATGCCTAGTGACAGAATCAGTCTTTCACTATACGTATATTAAATTTTTTTTAATAAATTATTTTAGTAGGGGTATATAAGAAAATATATTTATTTTAGTATGAGCATATATTATTTTAATGAGAGGTTAAGTGTAAAATTTTAAAATTTTTAAAGGTAATATTTTTTTTTAAAAAGAATTTGAGTGGAGGCGGTAACTCCCACTAAGTTGTACTTAAATTCATTGCTGTCTATGCCCTTCATTTTTTTTTAAATAATAAGGATACAGATTCATACAACTGTTGATTTGAGATAATAACATGGGACAGGACATAGTATGATTAAAACGTCAATAAAAATAAATAGGCTAAGATTTATAATTAGTTAGTAATAGTTTAATGGGTGTAAATTTAAATTTACGCTAAATTAAAATTTTAAAAATACCTTTAATTAAAAAATAAAATCTTAAATTTTATTTTGACTCTCTCTCCACGTTCTTTTTATCTCTTCGCTCTCTACATCATATATCTAGGATTTATAATATGTGTTTTGACGGTAAATTTAGAATTTATCATGCAAAACCATGCTTTACGGAGGAGCAAAAATGATCTTATGACGGAATCTAAGATTTACGAAGAACACAATACGTGTTCTGTTCGTAAATCTTGGATTTAAAGTATGGTGAGTCATAGATTTACGAGCATCACAAAAAAATGTTTATCTTATATTAAGAAAGTTGTATTGTAATGGTAAATCATAAATTTACATTGTAAATTTATAATTTACAAATTACATAACCTGTGTTTTGATGGTAAATCTTGAATTTACAGTACAGTAAATCTTATATTTATGAGGAGAAACTATAAAATGTTTATCTTATATTAGTAGAGTTATGAATTTACCATATAAATCAGAATCTACAAAAAAAACAGATATTGTGTTTTGATAGTAAATCTTAGTGTAAATCCAAGATTTATGAATAACAATACGTGTTTTACTCGTAAATATTGAATTTACCCTCTAGATTTACAAGTATAATTAAACAACGGTTATCTTATATTAGTAAAGTTGTGTTAGAATATATAGTAAATCCATGATTTACAAATAACGCAATCCATATATTGATGGTAAATTCTAAATTTACTGAACGATAAATTCTAGATTTACAAGCAAAATGAAAAATGTTTTAACTTATATTAGTAAAGTTATGATTTTATTGTGTAAATTTGGGATTTACAACAGAACATAACTTGTGTTATTAGTGGAAATTAAGGATTTACGAATAACATAGATTTACTTGTAAATCTATGATTTATGAAAAAATATAAATTGTGTTATGATGAAGAATTAGGAAAAAGGGAAAAAAAGAAAAAGAAAATGGGTAAAATTAAAAAATAAAACATTCAAAACATATAAAGGTCTATTATTTTTTATGCATTGGTAAATTAGTTATTTATTAACATATGTTTAATATAAGCCTTATTTTTTTTCAATTTTCTAAACAGAAAATTGTAAATAAAAGATTTTTGAAACTAAATTAAATAAATAGTAGATTTTGAAACTATTTAAAATAAACAACAGTTTACTTGTTTATTTAAAATTAGTAAAATATTACATAGTAAAAATCTTTATTTAGGTGAAAAAATATTTTTATCAATTGTAAAATAAAATTTACGTAGAAAAATATAATAGTTTTAAAATTTATTATTTACTTAATTTAGTTTCATAATTTACTATTTAATACGTTTTCCATTTCACATATAAGAACCAAAATCCTGTCGAGTCCGCAATTAATTGATTATCTAAGAATGATATTGGTTTAAATGGATATTTACAAATTTTGAAAAACCATACCACCTACCAGTATTTACTGTCATCCGATTTTTTTTTTATTTTTATTTTTATAAAAAAACTACTGTCATCACACAATGCACGCAATAAATAGTTATTTTTTCTTAATTTTTGTGTTTTTAAGATTTTTTGTTTCATTGTTTTCGGGCTGTTTATTTTTATAGTCGTTTCACATTGGTTGTCGTCTGGACACAACGCCGTGTCGTTTATTAGCTATTGTCGTTTTTAACATTCTCAAATTAGCTATTGTCGTTTTTTTGGTTCCTCTGTTCTTAACGTGTGCCGCCAGTCCAGAGTGGTGTCCGCCAAGCTTCCAAGAATTGAAAAAACAACATAAAAATTAAGTTCCCGCCAACGAAACCAAGACTTCCCTCGCGCCAACCCCGAAACAAAAACCCCCCAAAATGTTATCTCACATCCACCATTCCTGTTTTCTTCTTCCTTTTTCCACCCATCTCCCTCTCTCTCTCTCCAATGGAGATCTCAAAACCCCAATCGTTTTTCAAAGACATCAGATCACGAGAGCTCAACGGATTCAGAGGTACCTCTCTCTCTCGCTCTCTCGCTCTCTCTCTATATATATATATTCCTCTCTCCTCTGCATTTGTACTGTATTTAACGGCTGCGAGTGAATTTGTTTCAGTTCGAAAGCGACCGTTTATCGGCGATGCGACCTCAGATTTCCGAGAAATTGGTGCCGTGGCGGTGGGACACGACGGCGATGTGACTCCGCCGCTGGCGATTTCGTTCGGCAAGGTTTGTATATCGGCAAAATGTGAACTTTAGTCATTTTTAGGTCGATTTGTTACTGTAATGTCGAATCTCGTTCTTTTTGCAGAGCAGTAAAAGTTCGCACATCCTTGCCGTTTCCGACGAGGACGGGTACGTGAGCTTGTTTGATACGCGTCGACAGTTCTCATCTTCCTCATCGCACCAGGAAAATGCAGGTTCCTTTTATTTCAGGGTTTCGGTTGCAATTGAATTCTGGACTTTTGATTTTCGTTGCTTTTCCAAGCTTATTGATTGATATTTGCACTGAATCGCAGAAAAAGCTAGGGTTTGCGAATGGACTTCTCATAATAATGCTGTGTTTGATGTGTGTTGGGTCAAGGTAATTGATGGATTTTTTTTTTCTCTTGCTCAGGCTATAACTCTTTATCTTGATTTTTGTGATTGAATGAAATGCCGTGTTTGATGTTTGTTTCTTCAATTTAAACTCATTCTACAGGGAGACACCCAAATTCTGACAGCTTCTGGCGATCAAACTGTATGTGATCAAATTATAATTTTTTATTTTAAGTTTTCGTTTTACGTAAATTTCTGTTCGTCGCCAGAACTGTATGTGATCAAATTATAATTTTTTATTTTAAATTTTCGTTTTACGTAAATTTCTGTTCGTATTACACCTAATTCATCTTCTTAGCTGATTTATGTATTTGTTTTGCCTTTTTATAGATGAAGGTGTGGGATGTTCAAGAAAAGAAATGTATTGCCATGCTGATGGGGCACACAGGAAGTGTAAAATCCATGTATCCACATCCAACTGATCCGGGTAGGTTTACATTTCCAATCTGATCAATTACTTCGTGATATATGTGAAATTATTATCTTACTCATTTGTGTCTTTTATTATTCAACAGAGATTGTTGTCTCTGGGTCAAGGGATGGCTCTTTTGCTCTTTGGGATATGAGATGTAATTCAAGCTCAATAAGTAGGCGTGGCGAACTATGTATCAAGTATGATGCGAAACTTAGTTGAATTACCAGATATGATAAATATCATTGTTTTAAAATTTAAAATTCTATTTCAGGTCAATTGCTCTTGTCAAGGGAGCTCATCTTTCCCTTCAAGCAAAGCGTGTAAGGCGTGGCAAGGTTTGTTTCTAATAATAGTCTCTCCTCTCAAATCCATTTCACAATTTACACCCTCCACTGAAATTTAGACCTTTTCTCAGACGGCTTCCATGAGCATCACATCGGTTCTTTATCTCAAAGATGGGATTTCTATTGCTACAGCAGGAGCCGTGGATAGGTATATTAGAAATTGACATGATACATGCACATTAGATGTTAAATTTCCAGATTGCAACGCTTATCACTTTTAAACATTAGAGTACAGTTTAATTAATCTCTTAGTTTGTGGTCCCTTATTTTCAGCATTGTTAAGTTCTGGGATACGAGAAACGTGAAGAACGCAGTCACACAGGCACACCCTCATCAGGACTCAAATGAGAAGGTTAGTATCATTTTCTAAAAGTATGCTGGGGCTACATTAGTCGTTGATCCATAAACGAAGGTGATTGACATAATTACTTTTTGACAACACCAATCCCTTTCATTTCAGGAAAGAAGATTGCATGGTATATCTAGCTTGTCTCAAGATTCTAATGGGGTGTTTATTTCAGCCTCGTGCATGGACAATAGGTAATTGCCGCTCTAATTATTATGTTTTATCCACACAAATTGACTCAATTATTTTTGAAGAAAATTATCTGATAATCGTAGCCACTAGAGTTTGGCACATGACCTCCTCTTGTAAATCACTACGGTTTCGAGCTTGAAAAACAAAATTTGTTTTGAACAGTTACCATGCACTGCAAATAGACTTGAGAATTATTATTAAAAAGTAATCTGAACCCTGCAACTTACATTTTTCTTTTTAACATTTTTTTTTGGCCAGAATCTATTTGTATAATCTACTTCAGCTTGAAAAAGGTCCTGTGAAATCTTTCTCCGGATGCAGAATAGAATCATTTTTTGTAAAGGTGAGGATTGCTATTTAAACCCTATAGCCCAGCTTGTCAATGAAATAGATTGTTCCCGAACTTAGCTAACTTCATTTCAATTGTGCAATTGTAGTCATCTATCAGTCCGGATGCTGCCCACATACTCAGTGGTTCTAGTGATGGAAATGCCTATATTTGGAAGGTAAATTTCTGCAGTTATTTCCCTTTTCTCTCCATGTTTGGTGCCAATTGGAGTTTGACATATTGAGCTTGCCAAGCCAGGTGAACAAGCCGCATGAAGATCCTATCAAATTAAAAAACCACGAAGGCGAAGTTACAGCAATTGATTGGTATTTTTTTTTTCTTTCTTGTTTTCTAAGACCAACGTTGCTGGATTGTTATGTTCCCTGGCAAGTGATTTTACTATTTCTATTCTCCTGAACTTTAATAGGTGTCTTTATGAGGACGGGAAGATCACAACTTCTTCAGACGATTTTACGGTAAGGAACAGAAATGCCGTACATAATCATAGACCGTAAATATTCAGCATTGGAACTTTTCTTCCTTATACCAATCCAACTTCCTGCAATAGGTTCGCGTTTGGAACTCTCAGAGCAGTTACTGCTCAAACACGAGGTGCCCATCTGCCGTCCGAAGGAGAGTAATGGCAATCCCAGGTGAAGAATGTAGAAAGCTTCTAATGAAAGAACCGAAGCATCTAAGGAAGGATTCTAGCAGTATATTACCAGAAGATGTATCAGATGAGGAGGCCTGCTCAGTGAATCCAATCACAATGCCAAAACTCAGTACCCCTGAAGCCCAGGAGAAAAGATTTTCTTTAGATTCCGACTTAAATGAAGCCTTCGAGAAAACCCCAGAAACTGCATTGAAGAGCCCATCTTCTGTTTTGAACCCCCCTTCCTCCCTAAAAAGGAAAACAATCCGTGATTACTTTCTAGCAGCTATGTAAAAAGTCGTCTGCTAATTCCCCTTTTGGAAATTTTTCTAGTACTGACCCTTAGGAATTAATGTGAAATCTATAGTGCCCTTTATGTCCAGTGTTGCCCCTTTTGTTCAGTAGCTTTGCACTTTTCCCATTCTTTTGACGCTAATCTTGCTGCTGCCCTCTATTTTTCAGAAGCAGTGTACAAACTTCTTTAGTGATGGTAAATGCTCGCTCTCACTCCCTCATTGTGATTTCTTTTTCCAACGTGGCAACGTTATTGATTGTCCTTTTTTATTTATGCAGGTTTATATTTGAGATGTACAGGGCTACAATTGAGGATTGTTAATTGAAATACTAGATGCTTTTTTGAATGCTAACGTGTGGCTATCTGCTTTATTCATCATGAATTAGTGTATATTTCATCACATTTTGTAGTACGAACTGCCGTTGTCATCGTACAATTTGGGGGGTCTTTGTAGACTTTGTTTTTGTTCTAGATTGGGTCATTGAACAGCTTAAAAGATAAAACTAATCATACGTGGATAAATAAACGTTGACACGAACAATATAAGGATGTCGAAAGGATTCTCTTTACGAGGTCTCGATGAAGTCATATGAAAAGATTTATATTGAAACTCCATTTAGTAGCACTATAACACATCAACTGTTATAATTTACATTAACAAAACTCGTAAATAATTTACGATGACTCTGAAATTGGCGTGGTTTGGAACTTCATCTCCACCTGCGTATCAACTTTGGAATTACAGTCTGAAATAAGTATCAAGTGAAGATGTACAATTTGCTTTCCATGGATTCATGGCTGAAATGTCCTGGAAAAAGAGAAAAAGGTGAATGAAGCCAGTAAACAGAATTAGAAGCAAGCATATTAGGAGGAAAGGAGGAAAAAAAAAAGAAAAAAGAAAACCTATTGTTCCATGCTTTTGTAGATTCTGTTGCATTGGGAGCTAATAGCACACACAGGCTGTGTCCAGCATTCGGGCACCATTCACAGGACGTAGATTGCAGTGGCAATGCCAAAGACGGTTAAATTACAAGGGATGTAAGCCTGTGAAGTGTGAACGAAGTGTTGCAACATACCATCCTCACGAGAATTGATGTTAGTCGACTACTTCATGATGTAAAGCTCTTGTTTCGAAATGAAATAGCAGCCAATAACACTGCTCGGCTCCATGATGAACTGCTCACGAAAAGTTCCCACTCTCTTACCAGAAAGATCAATGGAGAGATCTTTAAAACTTGGCAAGCCCTCTGGTTGTATGCCTTCTCCACATATGAGGAACTGATTTCCAACAATGAAGGAACCTGATACCCTTATTGCAACTCCATCCTGGCCATGAGCACGGCATTGAAGTTTTTCGACAACATGCACAAGTCTTTCAGGGGGCCAATCACCAGCTAATGTACTTCGTATGCTCGAGAGAGTCATGAAGATTTCATTTCCACCAACTGATTGCTTTCCAGAGAAGCTACATAATAGAGAAGTTCATAATAGACAAAACACTTGGAAGTATCCAAAATACCTCTTCAAGTGGATATTTAAGACGAAAATTTTAAAATGGTCAAATCTTCTTCAAGTGTGTTTTCGGAAATCTAAGTTCAACTTCTTTTATTTGGGGATTAACGTCCCCTTGCCATGTTTTTGAGACACAAGAAGCTACTCCGAGTGAAACTGCCATTGACTGAGGAATGACAGCGTCAAGTGACTGGAACTCTCTTTTAGGAACTACCAAAAATAATTTTGAGTCAAGAAGACAACATACTTCATTGAATTGTGTAGTACCTGAAAATTGAATCTTCATTGTATAATTTTTTTGTATGCTGCCAAAGCTCATCAGGTCCATCAAAGAGTAGGTAATAATGAATTGTAAGCATCTGCCAAACAAAACAAGGCAAAACAAATACCAAGTTACAGTGTTTCAGCATTACTCTCTTTGTGTAAAAATGAGTCGATGCGAGTTATGTGCTTACATCAGCTAAGTCCTTCATCCTTTGTGTTGGATCAAATACGCTTCTTACAAATGCTGCTAAGTCTACTTGAGCATTTTCATACTTCGTAATGAATGGGTGTGAGAGTAGCTGCAATTAAAAACACCAGTTAAGGAACATTGAGGTAATCTCTGAATTCTGATGATAGACGTGATAGTTTTAATAAACTATTTGGTAATTTATTATTACAGCTCGTTTTTCCCCCTTCATCTAGTAGATGCAATACAATCTTCATTATAGTTGTAAGAGACAAAACGAGGCAATGGAAGTTCTACTTCTAAAGTTCCTACCCTCCTAAGCACAGAACCCATCATTTTCTGTCGCTCGTTATCTTTTTTCTCACCTGCTCTGCTGTTGGCCTAGCGTCTGCATCCTTCTGCAAACAGGCTTCAATAAATGAACAGAACTCCGGAGAAAAATTGTTAGAAGGTGAGGGTGATGGATCGTCCAATATCTGACTCAAGAGACAGGAATAATTATTAGGAATAAGGGAAGCAATCCTCTAAAAATTTGACAGCTAAATGCAGTTTCCCGAACATTCTTTGTATTTGTATATGAAATTATATATATATATATATATATATAAAGTCATTCTTTTTTCCTTTTCCCCTTATGACAAACAAGAATTTGAGGACAATTAGTATAAATACACAAACAAATAAGGGAAAATAAGGAAAATTGTTAACCATACAAATGATTCAGGAATAACATTTTTATCGATAAAAAATTCAAATAGGAGACATAAATATAAAGGGCTATACAATGCTTTAAGATATTGGCATGGTACCTGCAACATAAGATTAACCGGCCCTTCAGTAGCTGTATATGGGAATTCTCCGGTACCACACTCAAATAGAGCAAGACCAAGGCTCCAAATATCAGCTGGATAAGAATAAATATCGTTCCTAATCCGCTCCGGCGACATATAAGTAACAGTTCCAACAAAAGTAGCACACTGGCCAAAAAACACAGAGTCTGATCAGAGAAATAGTAGGCAATAATCCAAACTACGGCTCCAAAATGAAGCAACAAAAATTCAATCAAAACAAACTGTTCTTACCAATAAACAAATAATCACTTACCATCGCCATTGAATTCTCTAAGCCAGCACTAATTCCGAAATCCGTTATTTTTGGCTCTCCCTTGAGATTCACAAGCAAATTCGCCGGCTTTATATCTCTGTGGACTAAATGCCTAACACTATGCAAATAACTCAATCCCTGCCAAAAACACATAATTTGAAAAAGGAAACGACAATAAACAGAAGCAAGATATTGTGCTTGCTCAAATTATTGGAAACGATTTAAAGTGATTTACATACATGAAGAAGCTTTTGAAACATAGAGGAAAGAACAGGTTCAGGTATTCTTTTCTTCAGCTTCAAGATATCAGCCAAAGATCCTCCATCCATATACTCCAACGCTATGCTAATTTGGCCAGAATCCGGCGTATAAAACGCACCGTGGAATTCCACAAGACCTTCGTAACAAGGCGCTTCGCAGAGCGTCCTTATTTCAGTCAAAAGCTGTTGCCTTTTCTCCTAATCAACGCCGAACACACAACATTCATCATTTCCATTCCCAGAGAAAATTTGAACCACAAGAAAGTATAGATCCAAAATACCTTCTCGAAGATATTAATCTTCTTGAGAGCCAAAATCCGATGCGTCGGAATGTGAATCGCTCTCTGAACGACGCTACTGGCTCCGCTACCGATCGCTCCGAAAATCCTCATCTCGCGCGAGGCGCACCGGTACGTCTTCTCGCTCTCGTCGGCCGCCGCCGAGGACGTGCACTTCTGCAATCCGAGCTCGTTGATATTGTACACGCCGTACGATCGGCTCAACAAGTTCACGGTTCCGCCGTCCGATAGCTTCCGAAGAAAAGCAACGAATTTCGCAACCAAATCAGAACCAAAAACAAAATTTCTTCCTCCGGAAGAAAAATCTGCAAAAATTGAGAGCGGAAACAAATCTTACTGTGTACGAATCGCAAGGGTCCAAGGTCGAGGCAGTGGAGAATCCCTTCTCAGCATCAAACAATGGCGTCAGCTTCTTCCTTAATTCCTCTAACCCAGCCATATCTGGGTGATGTTTGCAGATATCGATCTCGAAGGGAAGCTTCGAATCGCAATAATTTTTGTTAGATTTGCATCAAATTGAGAATTTCTGTAGAGATTTTCTCGAGTTCTTACTGTTTCTATTTCAGACTTCAAGTCCAAAATCGATGCTTTGAGTTTTGTTGCTGTTACTTTTTCTCTGCAGTAGATCCGGTAGCCAACCAAATAGCGCCACGTAGGAATACGAATGTAAAGACTCCTAGATCTAGTCCTCTTTTGGTACGTTTCAGTTCAAAGTTCAAAGTTCAAAGAGGTCTTAATATTAAGCAATGATTTCCCTAATAAGAAAGTGATATCCATCACCGTTATTAGGGAGTGAATTATCCAGTTCTTAACGTACAATTCGCATATTTAAGCAATGTCAACCTCTTTAACTACATGTCGGTTTTCTGGCAAAGACTATAAAGATGTCGTTTTATCGATAGAATATATACATGTCGTTTTACGAAAAAGAAAAACCACCCTATATTAGGCAGCTTGTCCACTTTAAAAAAAGTTGAGAACTAATTTTTTTTTGTCCATTAATTGTTTTCAAAAAGAAACATCTCAAATCAACGTTTTCAAAAATCCTGATTTCCCCATGGCAACACAATTTTCCATGATAAAATTACATGCCTGGTATTCGACAAACATGTAGTTCTAGTAAGTAAAATAGGAGTTTTAGGGTCTATTTAGAAGGTATATCTAAATTATAAAAAAGAAAAAAAAATTGTAGCAGAATCAATTATTATAGTTTGAACATATGAAAGAAATGAGCCTTTAAATTCTTAGTGACAACGCTCATGTAAATTCTCAATTAACGACATTGTGATGTGAAAATCACGTACTTTTTTTCAACACTTAAAACTAAACGACAAGTCAATTAGCCTTGAGCGACACAAATTCCAAAATTAGGGCCCGTTCACTTTGCTGATTCAAATTTGTAATTCGAATTGAGATGTGATTTTATGTGAGAGCTTTTTACTGTAGCAAAAAAGTTAGATGTGACTATTTCTGAGAGCTTTTTACTGTAGCAAAGCTCAAATTCTAAACTCGAATCGGTGAAGTGAACGGGGCATAAAGCACGATATGCCGTTTCATAGGAAAAAGTCAGAAAGATTAAGTGAACGTTTAGTTCGTGAGTTCAGAATTATGATTCAGAACTATTTTTAATTTATGTGTATTTTTTTTATGAAATAAAATATTATAATAAGTCACAAACCATAATTTAAATCATAACACGGATTTTTACTCTAAACTCAAATGATGGAACCATATAAATAAAGGACGTGTCGTTGTACCTATTTTGAAAAAGCGAACCTCTAACTTTTTAGATACCGCATGTCGTAATACGGAACGACAAACTATATAACAGCGTGTTGTTTTTCCATCAGACGACAATAACGTTTTCAACAGAGACAAATATAAAATAAACTGCAAAGCTTCATAAACACGATATCTACGTTGCAAATTATCAAATGCGGCATGTCGTGTGGATAAAGCACGCAAACCACTTTAAAACGTCAAGTTGTTCTTTTCATACTAAACGACAGACATTTGTCGTTTTTAGCTAGAACAAAGCAAAATTTAAAAAACAGACGGTGTTGTTTGGTTAAAGTAAACGACACTAGAAACGAAAACCTAAAGGATGTCCTTTTTTTTTTGGGCAGAGGGGAACGATATGTTCTTTTTACAGTAAAAGAAAAGGATACTCCACAAACGACATATTACATTACACTCGCTATGTCGTTTTTTGCCTAACGCTAGGGCGTTTTGCTGGTCAAAACAAAACGGAAAGCCAATCTACGATGAAAAAAATGTCGTTTTCTTCTAAACGACAGTCAAACTTTTAAACGAGAAATATATATATATGACTTTCTAACATCATGCGACTTCTCCAATAAAACGTGGTGAAATTTTCAACTCATATTCTAATATATATATTAAAGAAAAATTAAAAGTTTTACTCAATCTCTCTGAATGCGAACATTCCATGGCAATAGAGGATGATAAGTTGGGACGTTTGAAGGGGGGATTTGTGTCATGATTCGAATTATGGTTCGTGACTCATTACAGTATTTTTTCTCACAAAAAACACACGTAAAATGAGAATGATTCTGAATCATGGTTATGAATCTATGAACCAAACATCCCCTTAATAATCTTCGATCAGGGGAAAGAGAGAGAGAGAACTCTAGACTATAATTGACAAGAATAAACCAAAAAATATGTGTTTATTTCAACGGAGTCTAAAAATAATCTCATCAAATTAGGACTAAAGCAACCGATCGCTGTAAAATTAGCAAGCCTGCATAAGCTAGAAAACATCATGTTCTTCGTTAGTGCTGGAACTTTGGACGGGTCGCTCGCGACCGCCTGAAAATACTGAGTTTTTACCTGAGCCCAACCAGCCCAAAAAATTCGGGCCGCCCGCCCGAGCCTGAAAATGCCCTTGAACGGGTTGTGTGCTTATATTTGGCTGTCCGAACCCGGCCAGGCCGCCCGACCTGCCCGAATAGCCTAATTTTTTTTTAATATTTATAATTATTAAGTTAGTTTGTGTTAAAATTATATAAAAATCAAAATCAACATTCAATAGACATTATTAACACAATTGAATAAATTAATGATGTATATTAAATTCATAATTCATGATTGCCTCGTTAAAAACCTTACCAAGAAAAATCTAATTAGGATAAAAACTTGGCAAGGAAAAAAGAGTGCAATCATTTTGTGACGAATTACAAATTTTACAAACTTACAAAGTTATACAATTACAAATACAATGTCAAAAGTAAATACATATTTGCAAATTATAAATTTACAATTTAATTTGAAGCTGAAGTATCGTCTTCAAAATTAAATGTTAATCGATTAAATTCATCGATCCATTCTTGGCTTGCCGGCGAAATTGTATCCTGTAGACGTTGATCGGCCCGATCCCAATCCTTAATGCAAACTAAGGCTTCAATAATATCCCTTTGCAATGCATTCTGGCGTTCCTTAAGTATTCTTCCTGTCGTACTGAAGGCTTGTTCGGATGAAATAGTGGAGACTGAGATCGAAAATATATCCATTGCCAATCGAGTTAAGATTGGCCAAGTTAATGCCCGTGCCTTCCACCATTGAACTAAGTCAAACGATTCCGCCGTACAGTCGACTCTTAAGCCTTCACTGAGGTACGCCATAAGCTCGTTGAAGCTGCTGCCGCCACTACCACTGCCACTTGTTGAAGAAGATTCACTCACAGCTTCTGTTTGAGTTGTCTTCTTCTTCAACTCAAAAATATTCAAGAATGAATGCGCATTTTCGTCTTGTTGTTGCGGTTCCTGTATTCTAGGAGCTAGTACTCTAAACCTAATCTCATATTTACTATAGATTGGAAATTTTTTTTCTTTATTATTGGATATTGGTCCGAACAATTGATGCCTAAAAATTCACCTAAGTTATCTAAACCACTTTCTAAACCTTCTAATTTTAATCTAGGATAAAAAATAGTACCTAAACCATAAAACAAATGCAACTTAGACTAATATTTTATAAATTTCTTTTTCATTGAATGGATAGGAACTGCTAAGATTGGGTCATCCCTATATTCGCTAAATAAAATGCTAATTCGTAAAAGTTCTCCTAAAGCTAAAGGTGATGTTGGATAATATGTCCCACTAAGTTTTAGAGTCACTTCATGAAACCTACCTAAAAATTGATACAAAACTTCGGCAATTTGCCAATCATATGCGTCTATATGATTTACTCATACTTTTGCACACATATAGTTTGTTATAGCATCCTTACAAGGGATGCATTATTGAAGCATTATGTAAGTTGAGTTCCATCTTATAGGCATATCTAACGCTAATGCGCTATGATGTATATTTAATACTTGTAAGAACCTAAACCAATATTCTTGTCTTTGGTTACTACTTTGAATCCATGCAAGGCTATCTCTAATTCTTTTAATGTGATTACATTTCTTTTAAACCAGATTTAACAATTAAATTAATTACGTAACATGCACAACGTTGGTGGAAAATTGTACCGTCACCGAATAAACTTAAATCATTTTCAAAGAACTCAATTGTTTTTGTATTGACACTAGCATTATCTAATGTTATAGCCATTACTTTATCTCTTAATCTAAATTCATCAATTACATTTAAAATGATATTATATATTAAATCCGCACTTTGTGATCCTAGAACATATTTAAAACTTAATATTCTCTTATCTAAATTAAATCATTTAAAGTAATGTCCGGTTATAGCTAAATAATCTTTATTGGCAACGGCAGACCAAATATCTGCCGTTAACGCAACGCACCCACTAGTCGAGTGTAAAAGGTTTATTAATGCTTCTTTTTCTTTTTTAAATAATTTTAATAAATCTTTCCTAAGAGTAGTTTTTGAAGTGAACTGTGCATTAGGATTATGTACAACCTTAATATATCTTTGCCAATTAGGATGCTCTGCAAAACTAAGTGGTTGATCTAAAGCAGCTATCATTCGTGCAACTTCCATATGATCTACATGCGGATCGTATTTCCAAGTGGTTAAACTACCGGTTGCGCGATCAAAAGATAATTGTGTTTGACAGAGTTCGGATCCGCCGAATTGGCTAAGCTTTTGAAGACACTTTTCAGAGTGTCTTCTCAAGTGTGTGGTGCCGTGAATAGTGTCATCTTGTAAGTTAGATAAATAATATTTACACTGAGCTATATGTTTAGTGTTACCTTCATTGTCGATCTCTTCAATTATGTCGAAGTGATCCCAAACTGTCGAGGTACGCTTGCATTTCCTCCTAGAGGTTGCAACACTTGCAGACGCAGTCGCACTGGCACTCGTCGTCACTGCTTCTCCACGCCCACCACCATTCCGACCATGACCTCCAGTACGTCCAGCAGGGCTCGGATTAGTAGATTCTTGCGTAACAAATTCATTAGTGGGAAATTGCCCTTCTTCCACGTTGTGTTGGGCATCAACGGGAATACCACTATAACCAAAAGGATCCATTATAAAAAAATAAGAGCAATTTAAGAGAGAGAGCTTTAGGATAATGTGATAGTTTTTAGAAAAATTGTGATAGAGATTTGAGAGATTGAGAGAGATTGAGAGAAAGTGAGAGGCATTGAGAGAGTTTGAGTGAGAAAAATGTGTGGGG